TGTGTCGCTACTCGCTTGAGTGCTGACCCCATGCGCCTACTAACGTTACATTTTTTCGCGGAAGTAAGTTTTAATTTTTTTTTTTTTAAGTTTGAAGTCGAAATAATGTTTTTCTTTTTTAAGTTAACGACAATAGAGTACTTTAATATTTTTGTTAATACACATTTCCTTTTTTATTTTGAAAACTCTTTTCGACACTTTTATTGGGTGATGTATTATGGAACGAATTTCCGTCATCCCTTGTCAAATTTGGTTTGGAGACAAACCGGTTCTCCGAACAGAACGAAAAATGACACTGAAGATGGCACAACGCCGAAACCGGTTTGTCTCCAAACCAAATTTGACAAGGGATGACGGAAATTCGTTCCATAATACATCATACACCCACCCTGTCGGAAACAACAACAACCAAAAAGGAAAAACTTTTATTGGGCTAATTGTGTGATTTTCTTTATGCGCCTGATTAAGGGTTAATAATAAATAACACAAATCCCTTATATAATAGTGATGTACAAAAAATTTTCTTTTAAAAATATTTGTTTCAACACATTTTGCAAGAGGATTGCGCAATTATTAAATTTATTATAACTCATATTAATTGATTAATCGCACAATCCGTTTTTAAGAGCCCGGCGCTAAAAATTAAATAACAACCTATAATAAGGCGAGATCAGCTATTTCCACAATTTCTTTAAAATCAGCTATAGTGTCTGAATGATTTACATTTCTGTTGTTGTCATATATTGAGCTACTCAACCTTGATAACATAATGTTTGATATTTGAAACGTTTTGCAGCAGAAACTATTATCCTTCATAAAACACTTTATTGGAACTATTAAATTAAGGCTTTCCAACATCATCCTATTTCGAATCTTAGTTTTTGTTGAATTCATTATTGAAAAAACGCGCTTAACAAAGCATGTGAGTGCGGCTAGGATAATAAAAGGAATTTACTTATATTTCCAAACATTTTATTGCCAAAATTCTGCAGAGTCGGATGGAATGGTTCTGGGAAAAGTTATTTCGTGGGAAAGCTAAAAGATTTAAATGTTCAGTTTCCGCTGCTTTTCTTTCTTCAAAGTTAAATCGTGAATTGGCAGGTCCCTGAAACTCGCCATCTTGTGATTCACGCACTTTTCTTGTGACAAAATCAAAGATTTTTTAAAAGTATTTAATTGACTAGGTAATGGTTTCAAAAGTTCTTCGATTAGGGTCATCAAAAATTTTTGACAGTCTTTTAATATGATTGTTAAGTCAAGTTTATCACGCAGTTCATTAACCTCTTCTGTAAAATTATCGTGGAAAACTAATTTTTGTATATTTTTATAATTCGGAAAAATTTATTTGAAGGGGAAAAAATCGCCAATGGCGATTTCCTAAATTTTTACACGCAAATATCCAAAAAAAATCGCCAAATTGCCGCGAAATCGCCAAATCCGGACACTCTGAAGTTTACGGCCCTTAATATGCTTAATTTGTTAAATGGCCCATCAAGTCGATTGACCGCACAGTATATACAGTAATAAACCTTTTTGAGTACTCCTCGGGGTTAAAATCTGATCAGGGTTGAAAATGAGTAGGAGCATGCATTTTGTTGATTCAGAGTTGTATACAAAATTACTGTGGTATGAAAGGGAGCAACAACCGTACTATGGCAGAGTGGCGCAAGTCATGAATGTGTAATAGTGCCCGAAACTAGTTGCAAAAGTATAAAAACATTGCAAATTATTGTCTATTATTATAGATACTAGTACAGATAGTTCATAGTTCATAGTTCAGTGTATAATGGCTGCGTTTCTTTATACATTCCGGATAATCTCATTTCACAGCCGGAACAAACAGAATACGTTTGAAATATACGTTAGCATATCATCAGGAATATTCTAAAGAATAAGTAAACAAAAAAGTTTATTCCAAATGTTCAGAATGAATAAAGAAATGCAGCCAATAATTAATATTACACCGTACATGATAATGAACTGTAAAATGCTGAAAACGCTTGTAACTTGTAGATCACTCAAACTTGGGTTTGCTTAATGGACTGTCTGGGCGGATGCGCTGGCAGGCATTGGGGTCTGTATAGCTATACAAACCTTGTTTTTTTTTTTTAAATAAGGACTTAAATATATTCGGGAATTTGGCTTGATAAAGTCACAAATTTTACGCTTTTCATAAAAATATAATCTTACAATGGACTTTTTTTATTTTAAACTTACATTTAAGAAAACTCCATTCAATGCTATAATTACGATTTGAGTTTTCTAGTTTATAAAACACAAGCGTTAATTACGTACTTAACTATTGATATTATTCCTCATTAAGCATGTATATCAGCATAGATTAAAGATTAATATTATACTTCACCTACATTTTGTTCGTAAATAACACATAATTATGTATATTTTATCCACGATTGAGAGAATACAAAGGTTGCGCCGATCTCGGACCGCTATTCCTCTCTTAACGAATTTGACAGGATCGTTGTTTGCATGACGTTACACTTGTGCAACTTGTTTACGTTTTCCTTGCAACATTTTTTCTTCTTCTTCCATTCTTGCTCACGTTTTGGCATTTCTCTCTCGCAATTGCACCAGTGTGACGTCACACAAAAGTTATTCTCAAAAATCCTCTCTGAACGGCGCAATCTTGTATTCTATCATTCTTGTATTTTATCCTCGAAATGAACTTTTTCTAATCATGACTCGAAATTCCCCACAGTAAGTGTTGCCATGCGAGCAAAACGAAAGCGCTGCACACAACCCAAAAGTACTCCTCGGGGACCAAATGGTGAAAAACTGCGAAAAGGTTTATTACTGTATATACTGTGATTGACCGTGTATGTTCTTCTGATGTGATTGTACCAGCTGCTGCTGCGACTTCCAAAACTATTTGAAAATTTTATGATTGTACCCAATAAACATTTAAGTTTGAGCTCAACTTGAGGTTAAGTTGAGAACTAAGCTAATTCTCAAATCTCCAACGTTGTTTTTCAACAGTACCTCAAGTGGAGGATCATAGCGTTCTCAACAAAAAGGGCATTTTTCTTTGTATGAAAAAAGGACTGTTTCTCAAGTTGAGAAAATGCTAGTTCTCAACTTGAACTCCAATGTAATTCTCCAATTGGTCTCAAACATATCATTGAAATACTGAAATTGAAATAGTAAAATACCTTAAACCTTTTTGATTGAAACGACATACATAGATGAATTTCAATATTAATTTTTAATTTTATTACTCCTTTTGTATTATATAGCTAATAAATATCGTATTACAATAATTCACTTCACAGTATACAGTCCGACAGTAATTTGCCACTTGATTCACTTCGCCTTTTATTTTCTTTCAAGATTATTTGAGGATACTTTGAAGATTATTTACTTTTTGTAATATTGATAATTTTCCTCTTTATATGCAAAGCTTTCGTTTTTCCCTTGATAATTAAAAACTCGTTTCGCTATCACATTTTACGTATCTGCGCGTCGGTTGAGTTGGAGAACGATGTTGGATATCAACTTGAGAACTATGAATTTCTCCAAGGTTGGAGAAATTTTTTTTTTGGTGTTTATTGGGTACCAGCATGCTGGTGTCGTGAGTGGTGAAATTAGCTCAATTTTCTAAGTAAAAAATATTCTGGCGGAAATTTCTTGCACTATATGAGTCTAAGTCGTGTTTCTGGAAGATTAAGTTCACGATATTGCAGTTGTGAATTTAAAAAAAAAAACAATCTTTTAACAAAATGGTAGAAAATTTATGAAATTTCGGCTCTAATCATTTCGATCTTTCATCGACTTCATTTGTAAAGAAATAAATATTGTACAGCATGCTGGTAAGTTATATGCCTTGAGCCTGATGGTAGAATCACTTGATGGAGCCAGCAAGCTGGTCTCGCATATTTCCCCTTTTATACAAAAAGGTTTTTGGTTGGATAAAATAAAGCCCTTTTTTAAAAGAATTTTGCTACCACTATAATTTATTCGCGGCAACACTGATCACGATTGCCATTTAGCTCTTTTTTGCTATGAAGGCAAAGTGCCAAGTGGTGGAAGGAGGCAGACACATTGACCACAAAGAGTTAATTTTACTGAAGCAAACTGGTAATGAAGTGGTAATGCTGAAGGAAATTTTTTAAAACGAGGATATATTCGATATACCTATGTAACCTAATTGGATTATACTCCTTCTTTAAAGCCGTAGTTAGGATCGGAGCGTGGAGAAAGCGTTATTTGCTGAATAGTTTCTGATGTCGAGGGTTGAATACATTTGGGATTTTGAGGGCCAGATTAGCCTGATATTAAAAAAAAAAATGGTAAAGCTGCATTACTAGAATCGAAACGGTAACGGCCCGAGGCACGCCCTTTTCCTTTTCATAAAATAGGCACCATCACGGAGGTGCAATGAACTATTCAGTAAAAGACCGCATATATTATTTATAGATCATTCTTTCATATAGTACACAAACATTTTTTTTGCAGATAGGCTCCTCTGGTCCCCATGGCCTTATATGTAAGTATGTATGACGTCATATACGTATGGACATACATATGTACTAATATACATTTACACATGAGTTCTGTATAATCAGGAATTTGGTTTTAATGGAATGTGCGTTTAGGCAGGGGTATAGCTTCGTATTATTTAGCCCAGGTGACTACACTGGCGTATAATTAATCTTCATTTCGTAGGAGCAGCTTGGGGAAGGATCAGTGAGTTGGTCCATAACGCCTCGTATATGTGTCCAACCCTTAAATAAAAAGTGCTGCCAAGTCATGCCGATTAATGTTCAAAAAAGTGTGTGAACTGCTATCGATGAAATATATCGTCGCATTCTGAGTTCTTTTATACAAAAACTATTACGTTGAAAGTAATATTAAATTGAAAATTAAAGAGGCATATACGTTTTACAACTCCTGCTGCTGTCGAAACTGTGTTTATGCATATTTTTTTTTATTGAAAATTGGTATGCAGCTTTGTGGTTTTCCATTATAGATTAATTATCGATTATACACTCTCATCGCTTATGAGCGCACAGCTGTTTATTTCGTATAAAGTGTTTGTTTACTAATTTATATAAAGAAAATTTAGCAATATTGGTTCAAAATAAAGTGCAAATTAAACTAAATGCAAGTTATTCAAATAATTGCTCTAATTACCGAGGAACAGTTTGTTGTTTGCCAAAACTTTATACAAACACAACTATGGAGGATTTGCTTCTAGCTGCCGAAGTGGTAGAAAGACCATGCTACAGAGAGACTAGGCATTCGTGGTTCACGGAGCGGGCCTACACCCAAAACATACAACATCACATTTGGGATCGGGAGTCTGGCCTGAATCGTTATAATCGGCGTGGTTCTCTGCCCGTGCTAACGCATGATCTTGAATTTTACAAAAGTATAACACCCAGATTGAGTATATTGTGTGTAGGATCATCGCTAGGTTACATACGTAAATTTACACCTGATGGTAAACTACTAGTGAGTTTCTCACTTGATCACAATGCTGTGTCGGTATACCAATATAAAGGCGTGGGCGCTGTACAACATGCATTATACGGAATAAAGGATGAAGGCGTACAAGCTACTTATGAGACTGGCATATTGCTCACCGACCAATTGTTTCATCTACTATGGAATATACCACTATTTTCTGAATTTAATACACGTTGGACTTTAAATCGTGAATTTAGCATTTTTATTGAGAATGGTCATTATGTATTGTTAGCCGCCAAGGGTATCTTATCTGCAATTACTTATAATCGCGAACATTATGCAAACTATCCAGATTTATTCGACGATAATGAGATGTATGACTATAAATTTTACTTAGTAGATTTAGTAAAAGGCTGCATTAGTGATGAATATCAGATTTGCGATCTTGTCTTCCTATCACACAATTACGGTGTTTCAGTTCATGGCAATAAAATTGCAATTTTGTCACGTTGCCGTCAGTGCATCGACGTGCTGGAGGTACGAAACGGGAAATTTTTCATGCGATATCAAGTGAATAGAGAGCAAGAAACGGCTAGGAGAGAGGAATTGGAAGGAGGGTTGCACACCAATGGAGTACCGGAGCCAGAAATGAAAGGAATTCTTTCGCAATTAAAGCAACATTGTATTGCAAATGTGTACAAGGATGCAATCGCAAGCCAAAATGCTAAGGAGAGACGTGATCGCTTACGTGAATTTTATAAAGATTTTCTTCTAGTAAGTATGAGTATTGTTGTTTTACTAAATATTACTATGCGCATATTTGGGCATACTTGTAAACTTGTAAACATATATTTTGCAGTTTGAGCGAATGAAAATGATAAAAACGCAATTTGTTGATGATGATCTAATGCTCATAAGATTTGAATGTCCGAAATCAAAGCAAGCATGTTGTAATCAAGCAGAGCTCTATATCCAAACTAGACCCGAATTCAAATTGTATGTATTTTACTCACTGTCGCAAGACAAGGTATTAAAATGCTATCCATATAACTCTGTGGAGTTGCTCTATATGCAGCGCAATTTCCACGATACTTTTCGGAATATGCGTTCAATGCAAACTGGACGACCAGCCTCAACGCCTAGCAATAATATTTATTTTCGTTCAGCATTTAACTGGTATGTATGCATTTAATGTATTTCTGAAGAAAATTTACAAAAAACAACTACTCGATGAAATGAAAAAGTATTTAAAGCAGGGTTCGTATTTGCACACACATGTGCAGCACATCCTAACATTTTAAGCTCACACACGTGTGCTGTGCATACAAAAAATTAAAAATTTGCTCACATCACATGTGTGTGCCGTTTGGTAAACAGCACGGGCACATGTGTGTACTTTCTTTTTATTAATGTAAAGCACACGCACATGTGTGTGCTATGCGTAGAGAAACTTATACACTTCGAATTCTAACTCAAATCTTAAAATAATTTTTTAATGGCTGCGTTTCTTTATACATTCCGGATAATCCCATTTCACAGCCGGAATAAAAAGAATGCGTTTGAAATATACGTTAACATATCATCAGGAACGTTCTAAAGAATAAGTAAACGAAAAAGTTTATTCCAAACGTTCAGAATGAATAAAGAAATTCAGCCAATATGTTTTCTGTCATATAAAAAACAAACAACATCTCACTTTTTATTGAATTGTTTTTCAAAAAATAACGTTTAATAAACAAATTCTTTTAAGAATATATTATGTGCATGTGCATGGGCTGAAATTTGTACAAAAATCGGCTCACACACATGTGCATGTGCTTAATAACAAACAGCACACACTTTTCTGTGAGTAGAGTTTGTTTTCCACTTATGCACACACATGTGTATGAGCAGTGAGTGCAAGTTGAATGTGTTTCTGGCGTGTGTGTGAGCAGAGCATGTGTGTGCAAATACGAACCCTGATTTAAAGGCACTATAAAGCCTGAACCCTGGCGAAGATTTATATTAAATTTTCTCTCTAACAAGTAATATAATTTTGGCCAAGGGTAATAATTTTGTTAATGCATTCAGCCATACATTACTGGTTAGCAAAAATACATTTTTTATTGCTGCTGAATCTTTTGAATGAATTTTGTAATTTCATTATATTTCCCAGATTTTTTATTCTTCAAAAAACTAAAATTTGTTTAATTTTAACTCTCATCCTTCTAATCTTTATCTGAAGCAGTTTTTTATTGTCCTCATATGTTCTTGAGTTCTCTTATAAAACAATTTTGTCTACTTATCTCATTAGTGCTGTTAAAACTTTTGTGGATCCAAGGAGAGCTGCAGAGCGACTCAATCCCTCATTGCCGGTCAATGCGCAAGGTACCAGCTGTGCACCATATTTCAACTATTACATGTTCAACTATGATGATCGACGCATATCTTCATTGGAAGTGCCAAAAAATGTCACACCAAATCCAATATTATTTACGGATCGTTACACGTCTGTTTTAAAATTTCGCATAATTCTAGAGACATCCCGGCTGAATAGAACTAGAAGTAAACAACTTGTGACTTTTGTTTTTCATCCATATGAACCATTTATTATAAGCATACAACATATAGGAGATAGCTATCTTGTTAATTTCCATTTGTATTGCGAAACAACTGTTGTAAGTCCCGGCGAAAGAAAACTAAATAATGATTTATGGGCTGTGAATTATGATTGATCAAATAATATTTAAAGGTTAATAAGTGTTTTGTGATAAGACATTTTAAATGCAATATGTAATGCAAAGTAGTAGAGTATGTACATATATGGTACATACATACAACCATAAATGTTGGCAAAGAAAAGAATAAAAAATTAAATAAAATGTGGGGTACTATGACCTGACAATGGCGGTCCAAACTAAAAAAAATATATATTTACCTACATATATGAATATAGAAATATACACGTATTAAACGAAAGAGAAGCAAGTTAAACTAAACTGGGATACTTTTAAGAAATACTGCCAACTATTTACTTAGTAATAAAACAAAAAAAAAAAAATGCCTCGAGTTATAGTTTTTTTTTTTTAAGAAGTTGATAAAATATAATGATGTACGTTAATGTGCGAATCTAATGTGAAAAATATACCTCCAAAAATACCTACTAAAAAAAAAGTTCATACATTTTGAGTTTAATATATTGCAAAATTATAGCACAAAGATCTTGTAGGCAAGGCTTCCCTTTGATTGCGTTGCATCCATCAATTCACATCCATAAAATACTTATTTTAAACATATGTATGTCTATTTTTGTAATAAAAGTTCCAATTATAACCCTTTCATAAAGAACAGAAAACGCTTTTCATTAAATGTTGTTTAATATTAAAGTTTGGTCCTATAATCAGAAGTCCCAATTGATATCAACTAAAAAATGTATAAATTTCTCTGAAAATTTCCAGTTGTAAGCTGCGGTATTGAGAAGTGCGATATTGCATTTGACACCCTGGTCGCCCTGGGAGTGATCCCAATAAATGAAGTACGACTTTCCTTTCTAATAGTCTCGCCGATGTTTTCAGACAAGTTTTAGATTGAGATTAAAAGCGCAAACAGTCAACGACGTAACGTAGACGTAGGTTGGCGCAGACACGATCTACCTTATGGGATTCCCGTGTTAACGAAAACTCACCACCGCATGGCGGTGACGTTGCCATTGCTTCTCTCTCTCTCTGTCAACAGTAAATTTTATATGCTGCTACGCAAGAATGATAGAATACAAGATTGCGCCGATTGCAGCAGAATTCGTGAGAGTAATTTTAGCGTGACGTCATCGTAGAGTTGACAACTGAGAGCGGCGAGAATGAGGGCGACTAGTGATGTGCTGAATTGTCCCCAATACTCGGTACCCAATACTTAAAAAAGATTTCGGTACCCTATACTTCCTTTTCGGTATCCGATACCGATTATTTACATTAAACCCTCGCCATTATATGCATTTGAGGTTTAGAAAAAACTTTCATTACTAATTTATATGATATCGGCTAAAACACTTGAACTTATCGCCACAGACAAATATTATTTTATCAGTTTTAACCGTAGTCGATCCAAGGTTCAAGAAAAATACTTTGACGGATGAAGAAGCCTTTCAGGGGAGAGATTCTGTAGCCAGTTAGCGACAAGTTTCGGATCGATATCGCACTTGTTGACTTACAAATATTTGATATCAAACGTCGTCAAAAATGATATCTATCGTCCGATTCAGCTGGAACAAAAATGCTTCAAACAAGTAAGGGTTTCTCGGTATTATGGCATCGAACCGACATCTACATCTTTCATTTGAATCAGTAAAAAAGCTCTATTGGCTCTTACATTCGGGTTTTGTTAGGCGTTTTTTTCCATATTTTTGGCCTATGTGCGCTTTTATTCGAAACCTAAATGTTTCGGTACCGAGTATCGAGAGTATTGGGTACTTAAAAGTATTGACTCAGCACATCACTACTGCTGTCTTCTCTACAATGACGTCTCCAAAACAGCTGATTCTGTCAAAATCACTGAGAGCCGAGTAGCGGTATCGTCATCGCCGCCACCTCTGTATTCTCTACACCGTGGCTGCTACGTACGTCAACCTACGCTTACGCTACGTTGTTGACTAGCTGCGCTTTAATAAAACATCATAATCATACGCAGAACACTAGTTATAAACCACTGTGCTAGAATGCTGCTTTACATAATTCTAGCTTGGCAGCACTTTTCCAACAGCTGTTTTCGGTAAATACGAGTGGGTGTTTTGTCTATTTTCCTTTTGTAAACACGGAGATTTACTTTTCTTGATAGCAAGTTAATAGCTTTTTCACTTATAAGTCCGAAGCTTTCAAATGGATGGCGAAGGTTTCTTAATAGAAGAGCTCTCTAGCAATGATGTACCCGAATCCGAGTTGTCCGAATTTCAAGAAACGCAACCAATAAAAGTTCTGGATATAATTACACCAACGGATAACTCCAAGTCAACGACCACAAAAGAAATTAGTGGAAATGGTGGTGTTGCGTTGCAGCAGCAGGCAACTACTTACAGTGCTATTGGCGGCGAAGGTGAAGCTGCATTGATAAAGCGTTTCGTGCGCGGTGAAGTAGAATTCCCAGACTATTATACAAAACTTGAGCCGGGCGAAGAGGAAGATGATGATGTCGATGAAGTGGAGTTGAAGGCGATAGAGCATCAAAAATATGATGCAAATGTGCAACACTCAACATTGCAGCAAGCGGCACAGGAAGGCCGCATCAATACCACAGGCAGTATTGAAGGCAGACTAGTTGATACAAGTCTAAATGAGCCAAGTTGGCGCAGTGGTGCTGGCGGTAGCTGCACCAGCGGATCTCGTCGTCGCACCGTACTCAATGCAGCGCTACAAGGTCTCATGGGTGAGGCGAATTTGAGTTTTGCACGTGGTCAGATTGATATCGCGGAGAAGATTTGCTTAGAGATTATAAGACAAAATCCATTGGCAGCTGAGCCTTTTTTTACATTAGCCGAAATCTATGAGACTCGCAATACGGAAAAGCATTTATACTTTCTAACGCTTGCGGCACATTTGAACCCACATGATCGTGATCAGTGGATACGGATAGCGGAATTGCATATAGCCCAGGGTAATTTACAACGTGCGCGTATATTTTATACGAAAGCTATAAAGGTGAGTTGTCCATTTGTGTTTATTTTCGAAATATATTAATTTTATCAAAATTTGTCCTTCCAAGGCCATGCCAAGAGATTATGATTTGCGTTTGCGTAAAGCACATCTTCTAGAATTGATGGGTGAGACGCATCTTTCAATGTTGACGTACTTGAAAATGATACCACATGTACCGCGAAGCGAGGCTGATCTATGTCTGTTGACAGCCAAAAATGTCGCACGGCATTTCCACGGTATCTCCAAGCATGCCATTGCACTGGAAGCGATGGAAGGTGCTTATCAAGTGTGTGGCGATCATTTCACGCTCGAAGATCTCAACCTTTATATGGATTTACTGATTTTTAATAAAGCATACGCTCAAGTATTGCGGTGTTTACGTGCACGCACCTCACTTGCATTGCAAACGGAGCAGGAGAGCAATTCGGAGTTGATTTTCTTCTGTGTCATACCGGATGACTTTGTACCGGACTTTCGTGCAAAGCTCTGTGTGAGCCTGATACACCTGCACGCACATCATCTGCTTGGCTATCTTATACAGAATGTACATGAGCATATTCCATTAACTGATGACCGTTTGGACTTGTATATTGATATTGGCGAGGCGCTTATGCAAGAGCATAAATATGCGGAAGCTATTGAGTTGCTACGCCCCATAACAGATGGCGATACTATTGAGTGTCCCGCATTTGTTTGGTTGCGGCAGGCTGAGTGTTTACGCAACTTGAATCGCACAAATGAGGCAATCGAAAGTTACACCCGCGTCGTGGAGCTGGCGCCATTTTGTTATGAAGCAAAATTTACATTGTCAGCGCTGCTAAAACAGCAGGGACGTCACATAGAAGCGGTCAAAGCACTTGAGCAATCTGGTGAAGGCGAAGGACAACCCCTAAATGCGCGGCTACTCTACGAACGCTGTGTGATGTTACAGCAAATTGGAGAAATCGACGAATTTCTTGAAGTGGGCTATGTACTATTGTCGAGGCATTCGATTAAGCTGCGGAATCGGGAAGAAATGCTAGCAGCGGCTAATGGTGGGAGTTTCTACAATGCCGAGGGGCTAAAAGTTATACTACAAATGCGTAACATAACAGAGGATACCGACAAAGCATTGCAGGTTTGGGTGAAATGATATTTACATATTTTTGCAAACATGATATTACATTTTGTCTTAAAACTGCTAGGAGTATATGAAGATACCGCAAGAGAATAGCGACCTCACAATACAAGATGAATACCGACTCTTTCTTGAATTAATAAGCGTAGCTTTCGATCATCGCAAATTTAGTTGTATTGAGCGCCTCTGCTTTGGCATGGTCACTACGAAACGTTTCACCGCCTATCATATCGAACTAGAGCGCATCATAATACTAGCCTGTTACTTCAATGATAATTGCGCCATTTCATTCTCATATCTGCGTGAGCTGATTTCCAAGAATGCAAGCAATATGGCACTTTGGAACTTACTCTCTTTACTGGTGCAAAAGGGTCAAGATTTGCGTTATCATCGTTACGTGCGTAGACTGGTGCAGCGACAGCCCACCGAACGTCAATTACGCATCTTCCTCGCTCACTATCATCTCTTTTGCTGCTCCTATAAATATGCATTAAACATTTATGTGCCACTCTTCAAGGAGCAACCGTCGCCCATACTGGCGCTCTGCATAGCTGTCATCTTCAATCAGATGTCGTTGCAGCGCAAAGTATTGCGCAAAACATCTGCTGTGTCACAGTCAATTGCCTTCGTCCAAAAGTATGCCATACTACGCGCTGGTGAAAGTTGGAATGTTGGTATTACCTCCACGAGCTCTGAAGGTGATGACTCCCAACCATCGTCCACTGGGCAATGTAGTGCCGCCGAGCAAGAAATTTGTTACAATTTTGGACGTATTTATCAGCAAGCGGGTATGGCACACCTTGCAGTGGAGTACTACGAGCGTGGCTTGGCGGTACGACATCCTCTCATCGAAGAGAACGAAGAGTATTTGGGCTTGCAACAAGAGATTGCTTACAATTTGCATTTGATTTACAAGGCGGCAGGAAATTTGCGCAAAGCACGCCAGTATCTCTATGAATATTGCGTTGTGTGAAGTGTATGATGAAATTGAATGGAAGTGCGAGAATATAATTTTTATAAATAAAAAAAAAAATATATATCTACATAAGTATATCCGGCTAGAGTTTGTCACAGCATTCCTTAAGATCACAATGCAGATTTCGAAAATCGGTCCAGTTAATTAATATAAAAGCGATAAGAAGAAAAAACTAGAATAGCCAAATTGTGGATTTCCTGAGAAAGTCCAGGTAAATTTTTTTGAAAATACGTCTTTAAAATTACTGCTTTGATCTTTTCTAAAATCATAGGAATTTTATGACTATATATCGTTACCTTAAATCACAAAGGCTTTAACCAACACTTTTTTCGAAACTATTTTCTAAAAGCCCTACCTGTATTTAATACTCATTTCATAATGTTTCTTAGTTCTCCTGCAAAACAAAAAAAATGTTGCTTAGGGCCTTTGTGAATTAAGGTGACGATATGTACATATGTATGTCCATTAAGCTGATTTAAAAAAAATCGACTTGTGTCTTTTCTAAAAAACCCCCTCTTCAATATCTCCGGGGGATGCCAAAGATGCCTGTTAAAATCAAAATTAAATATTTTTCCCATTTACCGGAGATTCTTAACAGAGAGAACCTCCAGCCCTAAGACTTTGATTTACTAAAGAACCTCGTCTACCAGGAAGTTTATTTTATTGATTTTAATTGTATCACACTTTCAAATTTTCAACAGTGTCGAAAAGTGTTAGCAATTCTTGTTCCTTTTTCTTGATACGCCCTTTAATATCTGTTATAGATTCAGTTTTTGGCACACTCTTATTCAGTATTTCATCCATGGATTTTATGAGTCTGGTGAAAGAGATAAAATAATTGAAAAAAAAAAAATGGAAAGTGAAAAACTTAAACAAGGGAATAGTGTAAGTATTTTTTGCCTTTAACGAAATCGTTTAAGAACTGGTTGACTATAGGAGTAAGTCTGGTTTTTTCATTTTCAGAAGAGGAATAATAATGGGCTCCTGGGTTGAAAGCTTAATCCGGACTATTGCTGAATGCATCTTAGTTCGATATTTCGTGAAATATACGAAAAAGAAAATTTGACAGCGTGTATTCAACAATAGCCTCTAGTATTTTTAATTCACACAAAGGCAAAATAGACTCTAACTAATGATATATAAGCCATTTTGATCGATAAACTTCTTCCACTTTTCTTGTTAAACTACCAATATGAAATTTCACCATAAACCGAAAGAAATGATAGTTAGCTTTTCCAGTTCACATATTTTGTAAGATTGTTTGGAGTTGCTAGCTCTAATCGTTTTAGGCGACAACAAGAAGTCAATTCGATGGCCACCCTAAACTACTTTTTGCTCTCCGATATTACCGCCCAATTGTTGGAGTTCTTAAAAACTAATATCTGAGCAAGAGCGTATAATTTAGGGTCTACATTATTCTAGGATTCTACGATTATTATTTTGTACGCCTTTTTTTTAAATTCCTTTATAACAGTAAAAACTTAACATGAATAGAGCTCTCATAAAAGCGGTCCCACGATAACCGAACAATAACACTTTCTCTAGAAGGATTCCGCAAAAATATAGCCATGACTGCGTTTCATGGCACCCTTGCGCTACAAGGGTTGGGAGTAGCCATAAACTACTAGTGATATTTTCTCTAATTTCCTAATAAGTGACCGCTCTCAAACTACTCAAACTTTTGCTCCAAATACGAAGTAATCCATGCTCCCGTCGCATCCACTCACTTTTTATCCACTTCGATGGTTACTTTTGATTTGCGCGAACGTCTTGTGATTGCAGACTTTTCGAGAAACTCCTTCAAATCAGTCAAATGCTCTTCCTGCTTCACCGAGTGACCCTCAAACTTACGCTGCGCCTTCAGCAGCAACTTCTTGCGCGTCTCATTTTGCTGCCGTTCGATTTCTGCGATAATGCTTGCCTTCGGTGGCAGCAATTTAATGTCACCAATGATCAAATCGTGATTAAGTATTTCCGGCTCATTAGTCTGTATGCCGATTTCAGCATGATTAAGCTGTTCCAAATTCTCTTCCTTCTTAGTGTGGACTTCATTTTGTTTTGCAGCCGTTGCTGCTGTTCCTGCCTCTTGCCGTTGCAACTGACGTGCGGTGGCACGCGCCGCTGTATTGGTCGGTATACCGGACATCACTTTACGGCCATCGCCGCGTGGAGTTAGGTGAGTGTTATTGCTTGAGTTGCCCGATTGCATTTGGCTGCGCGTGCGTACCGCTACAGAGGTCCGAGAAACTGGTGTCGGCTTGCGTTCGGTGAATTTTGATCGCATTTGTGGCAATCTTTGGTGTCCAGTGAGTGTGGCGCCGGAAATTATCGTTTCGCCACCCGTTGAGCTAATGCGGCGCTGTGTCAATGTAGTTGCGGTTGTTTTTGTTAATATGGATGCTAATGGTCTATGCGTCGTCGATGAAGGGACAATGACATCTTTCGTTTTACTACCGGACGCGAACATTTTTCGAATTTGGAATTTGAATGTTCTATAAACGCGTTGGAAATTCAAGGAAAATTAAAAAAAACAAACAATTGCTTGAAAGTTTGGAAGAAAAATTTTGTGACTTGTTTTCAATTGAAATGCTGATAGTTTGTGGAAAAAATAATAATTTTCCGACGAATTGATAACCTTCTCCTGTTTGTGAAGTCGGTTAAAAACAATCGGACAATGAAAGAGTGAATTAAAAAATTAAAAATGGATTTCGAATATGACTTCTACATAGGTGGAGCGAAATAGGAATTTTCCATAGTTTTCGGCATTAATAGGAACATTTAGGCCCATGACTATTTAGGGCCGGGCATGATACAAAAAACAAGGTAGTTCCATTGCCACTTTTTCGTCGCCATATTAACAACCTGACAATTAGGCAGATTGACATTTCGTGCTACCATACCCAATATCTAAAATCCTTCAAATTTTCTTATTAATGTTTTGTCGATTTAAAAATATTTTGTTCTTAAGCATAGCATAATAAGAAATAAACAAGAAATAAGTGTTAAATTCCACAACATTTCGTTGAAACATTTTTGCAACATGAAGCTAGCAACACAATTTTCATGACATTTTTAAATACACATGTACATTTTAAATTGTGTGAAAGCTGACAGTTTATAGAATTCAGTAGCGACGAAACCAAAGGGGGGTTAAGTGGTTAAACCTTACCCAAGCCGGTCATAAAACTTGCAACGCAATTTCGTCTTATGCCTGTGGGTCTTGGCAAGAATGTAATCCCTGAAGGTTTAGCTAAAATGGTTTTCGGGATACACCCTGTGATCATGTTACTTTCCAGAAGGTGTGGCTCCCGTTTTTCTGTACATATTTTCGTTGGAAAAATACCTTATCTCAGTATTCTAGGTAAATGCTTCCAGAGGTATCTATGCGTCACCAGAATTTTAGTTTATTTGGGTTATACCGCTAGCTCTTTTCAACTGCTACGAGATTGTTTTCATATACCCCCATTTTTCATAGGTTTGGGATTGATTTAATTTACCTCTATTCCTTGTTCTACGGTGGCACGCCGCATTTTCCAATAAACCCATATTTTTCCATGAGCTTGAGATTGACTTCATATACATATATCCATACAAAGTTCCAGGACTCTTAACACAAATACTTCCAGAGATATACACTATGAAAAATTCGATTTGAAGGGAGGTTCCACACGCCCTTTAGATATCGGTTTTGTTTTAGCCTATAACCATTCTTGCAAAACTTGTGTCCGAAATTTCAAAAAAATCGGCATTGTGACTCCTCAAGCGAAATGAACTAATGATTGCAAAAAATTAAATCAAACATCGTAGTTGACCAAAAAAGAATATTCGACTTCATTCTCTCAACTTCTCAGAATGTAGAAAAGCTAAGAGACATATAATAAGATAGGATATATTAAAACAGCCTCCAAAACATTTACTAAAGACGCCCCTGGACTACACAAATAAGTTTTATTGAAAATTTGTTTTTATCTATTTATTTTATCCTTCAATTTTGGGTTTGTCAAAATTTCATGTGAAAACAATATGTGTTGCTACATGATTCAATAACACAAGGTTATGTAATTTGTGACAGCTAAAATTTGACACTCCTTTATCTAGATTTGTATTTTGGAAGTAGGAGAAAGGGGAAGAATGTGATCGCCTTTTACGAAAAATGTAGTAGAAAAGGTACAAAAAAGTACGCAAAGTATACAATTAGAAGTAAAATGTGTATTATTAATTATATGTGATTTTGCAATATATTTGGTGTTCTAATGGAAATACTAAGCAATACGTAAAAATATAGATTTTGGTTTAAGTTATTCGTCATGTCCTCGAGCAAATCTAGAATACCGACCCTTCAGCTATGCAAAAACAAAAATGCAGATCAATAGAACTTTTTAAGCTCATTTTAACCATGCCAAAATTATTGAGCGCAAGTAAAATATAAAGTCGTTTTAGAAGGTTACAATTAAATTCTTTGATTTTTTTTTTAAATATTAATATCTTATGAACCACATAACCGATTAAAAAACTAATAACATCACCATAAAGATAATCAATTTATCTTTCAGCTGATATATATAATTGAAATTGTTTTTTTATACATTTAAACCAAAACAACTAAAAAACGAACATATCGTCACTAGACACGAATAAAGGCGCGAGCTCAAAAGTTGGCGGCGAACAAAGACGCATAAAAAACTTTAGCGTCAAAGACTCTTAACATACTTCGCCGAAGTTTTTCATAAGCATCTTTTTTCACAAAATTTTTTTACGCGCCTTTTTTCGCCGTCAAAATACTAGCACGCCTTTATTCGTGTGTTGTGACGATATTTATTTTCCATGAAATAACATTTTTTGAAAAAAAAAACTTCTTGATTAATGGTAAAGAAATTTATATTATTTAGAAAGTACAAGCTATTATTTTTAATTCGATATACATATTTTATCATGATCTACTTTTTGGTTTTAAGAATTAAGTGATAATAAAAAAATAAGTAAACAAAGCAAGTAAACCTCTTATATCTTCTTTGTTTTTTACCTGCGCCAAATAAATTTGGTATCGTTGAAATCAGCGTAAAAAGTTCTATCAATCGCCATTTTTAGTTATTTTATAGCTAAACGGTCGCTATTCTAGACTTGTTCCGGAAATTTACGCATACGAAGGTGATGACAACGAATATTTAGAATGAAGAAATTTTGGTTTTACTACTAATATAACTAGAAACTGTAGAGTGAGAAACATTCTGCACAAGTAAAGGAGCCGATTTTATGTGTGGGAGCGAGAAGACTGTTTTATTACAAAACCTTTCTATTATTGAATCATGGTGTTGCTAGAAAAATTTTACGGCCCATGGGTACCAAAGTACATTACATTGCTGTTAAATGGACAAAGACAAAATGTATTAAATAACACATCGAAATGTGTAATTTCAGTAATTTGTGTAAATGTGTAATTTCAGAATTACATCAGAATCACGTATCCGATATAGAAAACTACATTGTGAAATAATGAGATGACATGAGGACACTAACATAATTTGAAAATATGTTCACTAAAATTGTATTAATATTAAAATAATGATTTGGCAAGTTGTTATCGAGTTTAATTTTAAATTTAAACGTTTTCAAGATAAGATATTGATTATTTTTAAAAGGAATTTTTCACAATTGAGCAATTGTCAAAAAACTGCTTTTTAATCAAAAAGTTGTTTATTGAAACTACCTTCTTTTTTGTATCATGGAAAAAATAATAATTTTCCGACGAATTGATAACCTTCTCCTGTTTGTGAAGTCGGTTAAAAACAATTGGGCAATGAAAAAGTAAATTAAAAAATAGGCAATGGATTTCGAATATGACTTCTACGTAGGTGCAGCGAAATAGGAATTTTCCATAGTTTTCGGCATTAATAGGAACATTTAGGACCATGACCATGAATGATATACTAATACATTTTTATAAATTTTTTTGATTGTAATAAATGCCGCGTTTGCATTACAATGGTATAATTAAATTTAGAAAAAATTATTTTAAATGAAATACTATCATTTTTTTTTTATATAAATATGTTTTTTTGGTATAATTGCCGTGATTGCATTACAGTGGTATAATAATTTAGTACTAAAAGTATTTATCTGTAAAAAAATTTAGTACAAAAAATGTAGAACTAAACATTTGACCTACATGTATTACACACAATTTCTTTTTTAATTATAGTTATAAAATTTAGTATTAAATTATTTTGTACTAAAACCATTAGTACTACAAACTTTGTTAAGCATATTAAAACCGGAAATACTTTTTAAATAAATTATAAAAGTTTTTGATCAAAATTAAAAAAAGTTTTCGATGCATAGTTAAAATCGAAGTCAGGAAAAAAGATTTTAAATTTGTGTAAAAATTTTGTACTGGAACGTGTTGGCATAATTGGCATTTTTTCGTTATTTTCGTAGAATCCTAAAATTTTTTACTGAAACCCCTACTAAGTACATGTATGAATTTTTAGTACACATAAAAAATCTTTTGGTTTAATGTGAAAAACAAATTTTTACTATTTCCCATTTTTTTAGTATTGCTGTAAAGTTGAGTTTTAAAAATATTAAGTCTGCTGATCAGTGGCGGATACACGGGGGGGGGGAAAGGGGTTAAACTCCCCAGACCAGAAAAAGATGACCACATAACTATAAAAGTTGATTGTATTTACTACAAACTAAAATTTCTTTTTGACCACATTTTTTTTTATTTTTTTAATGAAAATAATGTACTATTTTTTTTTAGTAATATGTAAGTAATAATTTTTTTTAATGAAAAGTACGTACTAAATCTTTTTACTTAGCACCAATTTCTTGCGAAAAATATGTATGCTTTAAATTTTCAACGCATAAAATTTTTTTTTGTTTTCAAAGTGTTAAATTTTAAAAGGATACAATTTTATTCGGGCAATAAAATCATAAATTTTAAATCTATACATACCCATTAAAGCGTCCGCTAAAGAAAAAAGTAAAAAAAAAATGTATATTATTTTAATCTTTATTAAGATTCCCTACTGCACAAAGCTAAATTGCCTTTTTATGCATAAGTAAATACCGTTATCGGCATTATATTCGTTTTTTTTTGCATTGGTGTCGTAAATACGCATTACACTTAAAAAAACGATTTGTGACATTTGGATATATTACGAGTGCAAATTGTTCTTTGTGTATTTGTGTGTTAAAGCACATCGAATTGCGTACGATTGAGCGGAAGGCGAGTGAGTAAATGTATATATAAATGATATTAAATGTACATATATATATTTTTAAAATTGTTTTAAAAAATAATCATTATTAGTAGGTAGTGGTAGATTCTCAAGATTTTTTCCTTTAACATTCGTTTTCGCTTTTCTCGGTGCTACATATTTAGTTTATTATTTATGTATACATATATGTACTTATTTTTTGGTAAAAAGTGTTAGACTTATTAAATTCTTATTCCTAAATTTTTTCTCAGTTTTTAAATTATATTTTATGTAGAATTCTTCATCCACATTTGCATGCACATGGTATATGTGTGTGTATGTATGTATGGATGTGTGCTGTTATTTTCTTTCCAGCTGCTTAAAACTTAAAAAGTTTCAATGGATTTCGCTTAAATTTAGTTGCAGCGGGCTTTGCTGAAAAATTAAGACAAAAAATTAGAAAAATTTGTGTAAAATAAAATTAATTTTTTCGCAAGAGTTAGTTTTTTTAAATTAGCCGTTGATTAGTCGCATGAGATATGTATGAGTTACGCTTCGACTTTTTTAGTTCTAATGATTTTCTTTCTTCGTTGCTATTAATTAATGTCTGGTTCGTACACTGGCTTTTTACCAATTAAAAAATTTTATTTTTTAAGTTTCACACATTTTCCATATATTGCGCATGCGCCATGTGTGCTGCTGCTCAGTCTTGCTAAAGTAAGCAAATTCTTAAGACATCGACAGCAAAACTTAGGCCCTAAAAATAATTTTTTATTAAAAAATTTTGTACTCAAAGTAATGTTAAAAAATTTAGTACTAAATGTTGCTTAAATTTTTGAAGAGTGAAGTGTTTAAAATTTAATACGCACGCGCGAGTTAAAATTAAAAAAAAATTAAACTTTTTTTTTAAACGTATGTAGCTCTAATTTTTTTGTTTAATTTTTGTTAAATTTTAATTTGAGTACTAAATTTTGCTTGTATCCTATTGAAGTGCAAAAATTCTAACCGCTGTGCAATATTTTAGTTAGATATTGTTTGCATTACTTTAGATTTTAGTTCCAAAATTTCTGTATTTGTGCGCTTTGATGCTAAATTTCGACATGTTGATAAAGCACTAAATTGCTTTAGTTGTTTGAATTAAAATTTTTTGGGACACTTTACTATACAAATTATTTTACTAAAAAATTTGTGGGCCGTTTTTAGTACCAAAGCTGTTGTGCCCATTTTATTAACCTATGAATGATGCGAAAAGCAGATTTTCGCTTTTCGTAGACATTAAGTACTTAAGTACTAAATTTTCCCATTAAATTTTTAAGCTCACTTGCTTTTCTGCTAAATTTTATTACTATTTTTTACTAAATTTTCTCATTGCTGAATTTTACTTTTTTGGTTCTAAATTTTAAGGCTTTGATTTGGTACTAAATTCAAAGGCTCGTTTGCTTTGCCGCTAAATTTTATTTTTTTGTTACTTTTTTCAATTTTGTAGCGTATTGAATTGATAAGTTTAGTTGTTACTTCATGATTGATTTTCGGAAATTTTTAACACTAGTACTAAAAATTTCAAACACTTTAGTAGTAAAAATGTAGTAGCCTTGCTAAGGTGCTAGATTGTCTTTTACAATTTTTGAGTCGAGATTTTAGTACTAAAGTTTGATAGTCACTTTATAAATTTACTATTGGGGCAAACATTTGTTTTTGGTTTTAGTACATTCTCAACTTCTTTAGTATTAAATTCGGGGGTTTCTAAATTTGTTATCCGTTGGTAATCGATTTTAAATTTTGACTTTTGGTACTAAAATTTGGTATTTATTTTTCTAGTACTAAATTTTTGTTTAGTACTAAGTTCTAGTATTTGATTTTTAGTGTTAAAATTTAATATTTGATAATTTGTAATCAATCCTGGCGGTTTGATTTTTAGTACTAAAACTACGTATTTTGTTTTCAGTACTCAATTTCAGTATTTTTTATTTAGTACGGTCATTGATAATGTAATAGTAAGGTAACAGAAACATTGAAAACCCTATCGTACGATATCAAAGTTATGAAATTTCAGAATTTGATCATTTACAGATACCAGTAAGGAAATTAAAAAAAAAAAATAATAAATTAAAATTATAGCACTATAACTTCAAAACGTAATAAATTAAAAATATTAATTTTATTTAAAGTTAAATTTAGTACACACAAACAAACAAAACTTCCTAAATGTAGATAGATGTAAATTTGTTGCTTTTTGTTGGCTTGGGATAAAATGAAAACAAAAACTGTATAAATATATGTAATACGTTTAACATTTTTCAAAAAAATTAAATTATATCTGTACTTTTTTTATTTTGAAGTGTATATTATTTTACGTATTAAATTATTTTTAATTTCTTTGTATACAATTAAATTAGTACAAGTGCAGACTAAACAAAATTTGGTTTCCATTGTTACTAAGCATACTTACAGGCGCACTACCGCAATATATGTACGTATGTGTGTATGCACTCGTATTTATTTGTGAATTACTCCATTTTGGCTTTTATTGTGCATTTTACTACATATTTTCTAAAATGTTTAGTAAATTTTTTTCCATAAAAATATTTTTGCTTTGCCATTTTTTTTTGTAAACTTCATTTGCTTTATTTGTGATCTCTAACATTGCTTGGTTTCAGTCAATATTAAATTAGTATTACCGCTGTGTTTGTGTTGATTACATTTTGTTGTTGTTCGCTAATGATTTACAAGCTTCATATCAACTTTCTAATGCATATCAGAAGCGTATGAGAGAAGCATTAAAAAAGCATGATGATTGTTGGAATTAGCGACTAATAATAAGAAATATATATATTTCACATTTTTTAGTAGCTACTTTTTGGTGTTTCTTCCTCAATTCGATTTTATATATATTTTGGTTGATTTTTAAGATTTTACATTTTTTCTATCCTTTTGCTGAAAATTGGTTACTTGCATATGTACACTAGTATGTATGTGTAAGTATGTGTATGACCAATTAGTGAAAAAAATATTCTCAACTACTCGCTACCCCTTAAGCGCCTAAAGTACGATACGCCTAACCCCACAATCCATACAAAACTTAGCCTGTTCGACTAGAAATTTAGCGCCACATTCATGGCAAAATTTGGACATTTTCATACTCGCGCTCATTGCTGCATTTGTGCTCGAAAGCGAGCTGCTCGAACTGTATTGTTGGCCCTTGGCCGTAGACGCTGGCAAATCATCGGGTGTCGCGGCTGCAGTTGAGGCGGCGGCCGTCATCGTCGTGGGTGAGCTAAGGGAACTCTCATAGTTGTTGTTGTGATTGTTGTTGCTATTGCCCACTAGATTGTTGTGCTGCTGTTGCTGCGCATAGTGACTGCTTATATAGTTGTTGTTGCTGTTGCCTCCGCTGTTTTTGTTGCCAATACCGGCATGCTGCTGCTGTTGTTGTTGTTGTTGCTGCAATTGTTGCTTATATTTGATGTTGCAATTCACCTCATCAGAGTTATCACTGCTGGATGAGCCGCTTATGCGGCGCGGACGCGTCTTCAATGGCGCGTATTTGTATAATTGTGTCGTTTGTTGTGGCAGTTGTTGTTGTTGCTGCGGCTGCTGCTGTTGTTGGTAGTGGTATTGTTGTTGCTGTAGCTTATGTTGACGCTGCGCAGTCTCATCGGCGTGCATTGTGCTGGGTAGATGAGTAGTGTTTGTAGCGGTCGACGCGCTGGTGGAGGGGCGACTGCGCGTTGCACTGCGTTGCGGTGTGACCGAAAGCTCCGAGGATCTCTGCCGTGAGAGGCTGTAGGATATCGGGGGAAAAGTTAATTTTTTCATGAGAGTTTTTATGTTGAAACACCGCGCCAAGCATTTCAGGTGTTGTAGCTTTCGGAGCTCATTGCTGGCTTATAAAACTTCTAAGATGAGTTGAGCTCTCAAACCCCGAAAACGCTGAACGCCTTAAAATCTTGACACTGGTTTCTAACTTAAGTCTTAACATTTTTCTGAAAACAACAAGGCTCGTTCTGGGCAATGGCCTTTATTTAGCTTTTTCTGTCGACTTAGTTCTAAGATCTCATTACTTATACTTCCACTAGTTCAAAGATAAAACCATTCAGGAAAAGACTCTTGTCAGGTAGTTCTCAAGCTTCAAGTCATCGCGCATTAGCCATCGATAAAAGTTTGTGATGATGCCTGGAGCAAGGATTCCTGCTGGTACCTCGTTCAAAAAAAGTCGACGATGACACTTTTCGACTTTGGTTTTACACCTACAAACTAAACTAGCGGTGCCAGCAGATTTCAAATCGACCTAGATTACGAGATCCCCTTTCGGCCAGGAAGAAATTCTTGACTAAAACAGGTTGGAAGACCACAATTTTCCACTCAGAGAGCTTACTCTGGAAACTTGAGAAGCAAAGGGAGTGGAAAAGTTGAGTGGCTGGCAGCCCAAAAAGCAGAAAATTACTTGCGCTCATTCTAACAGTAAAACCTCTTTCGGCCCGAGCTATCTTTAAAAAGTCTGTAAAAGAAAACTACGCAGACTTCGAAAAGGACCACGAAATGACGCCGAACTCACTGAAACCATAGAAGACATGGCGAGCACCCTAATCTTCCTTTTTTTCTACTCGGACGAAATTTCTATGAAAATTACAAGCTTGGTGAAAACTATTCCAATGAATTTTAAGAGAGTAGTTTAACTGCCATTTAATAGGGGCTTGATTACTTGACTCAATCTATGTAAGTCAACTTCCGGTTTGGAGTCCCCAGGGAAGAAGTCCTATCATGTTAGTAAAATTTCATAGCTTACTCACCTCCCGTACGCAGAGTCGGCGCTCAACTTCGAGCCGACACCGCGTCGTGACGACTTTGATGATATTGGATACCCATCTAGGCTGCTCATGTCGTCCGAGTCGCCGCATGCATCACCGCTTGCATCTTCAGAAACCGCATACATTGGCGCTGTTGCTTTCACTGTTGTTGATGCCGTTGGTGGCGGTCGTGGAGACGGTGGCGATGCATTGCTATTGCGCGGCACATACGTACCACCACGTCCTCCCAAGCCAGCACCCATGGCCATATTATTCCCGCCATACAGCATTGCGGCATTGCCAGCTGCTGAATTGACTGAATTGAGACCGGTCATTGCTTGGCGTATATTGGCGCCCACTTCTTCGCTCATTTGTCGAAAGTCATCTTGCATGCGCTGTATTAAATTCTTGGCATTGTTCAGCTGCACGTTGGGCAAGTGATTACCCCTGTTGAAAGGAGTGCAGCGCAACATCATATCTTCGACGTGACCTTTTAACTGCTCATCATCATCGCTAATTTTGCTAAACTTATTATCGCAGCCATCGACTTCAACCTCGACCATAGTTTGTGGATTACCGACCATGTTGCGCAGCGAGTCTGGTGAAATGGGTGAGCGACCATGTTCGTTCGGCTCCGTCTCGATGCTGATGAAGATCTCGCGTTTCTTGTGCTCTGAATCGGAGTGTCGCTTGTTGATCACACTGTCGCCATAGACGGCGTTCTGCGCAGTAACGCGGCTTAGATCTTCGTATCTGTCAGATGTGGGTGAGGGTTGTTTGCTCTTTGGGCGTGATTCGTCACAGGATCTGTGGGAAGAAGGAGTTAGTAGGAGCGTGGGGTGGCTGTGTTTGTTGGATGAGGCGAGATTTGGAAATTGAAAGTGGTTATTGCTGTTGTTGTAGTCTGTTGTTTGTGCTGCATGATTTTGAGAGTGGTTGGTATTGTTATTGTTGTTATTCTGTGTATACATTGAATTCGGCGTCACCGTCGAACGTTGTTTATTCGACGTGCGATTCAAGAGAAACTCTCTACAGTCCTTAAAGAGAGGAAATTGCTCATCGTCATTCTCGAATGACGAGAGAAATTCCTCAAAGTCAAAGTCGTCGAAGATTGGTAAAGGCGGTACGTTGGGAGGCGTCTTTAGTGGTGCAGATTGCCCGCGCGCGTTCACGAAACACGTTTGCGGTTCCTGTTGCTGCTGCTGCTGATACGACGAACGATACTTGGATTCATAATACTCAACCGATGAACGATTGGCTTCATCGTCAGCTGAACAGGAATCATCTGCCTCGGGCGAGGCATCGTAGAGGAAGTGATTGCGTCCGAGGCGCTTCTTACGATTCAATAAATTCCTACCCTCAGCTGAGCTGCGTTGACTAAGCGTCGGATGCGCATTTGGTTGTGCTTCGTCAGCAGTCGACGGGCGAGTGGGAATGTCCATAGCCTGGCTGGCAGTAGTCATCGCAGCTGTTGTTTGTGTCGATAAATCTTTTACTTCAGCTGATTTTGTGAGTGGTAGCAGCTTGGTTAGTTGCGATATCGGGCCGGTCTGTGGCGCAGAGCACTCCGATGAGGAGGAAGAGAAGTCCAGCCGTCGTTCTGCATTGCCATCGCCAATGGATTTTAGTGTGCGCACAGAGTTCAGATTAACAGGCAGGTTATCACATTTATTAATTAATTTAGGATCAATGTATTCACTTCCCGAAGCGTTCTTAGTATCATTGCTGAAGGCGCTAAGTGATATAGATAGTGGAGGCTTGGTGGATTCGCTAAGGAGCGCATTCAAGTTAACTGGTTGGTTCACAATGGGCAACTGTGTAGGCGTGGCCTGTACAGAAGCCCTTGTATCCTGCTTTTTTGTTATCGGCGTCGAGCTGGCCTGAGGCAATGTTATGCGCTCCAATCGGAGAGGCTGTGTCTTTTGCGAGTTGGGATACTCCTTTTCATATCGGCAAACTTCAGGCGTAGATGGTGTGTTTGCCACTGGAGTTGGCAGGTGTTGGCGGGATTGATTCTGCTCCACATCGCCTGTAGTTGGTGCCGGAGGTTCGATATCTTCTGCCTTGATGCTCTTAGCAGAGTTTTGCTTGCTTAGAGTGTTGCTTTTCTCTTTGAATTCCTTAGTTATGACGGGATTGTGGAGATTCACGGCTGGCGAGTTGGACGCGCTTTGCTCGACTGTTGGCTTATTGGCGCTTGCGTTAGCGTTAGCGGAATCTAGCGTCGCCTGTGCATTGAGTTTCTCCAATTCTTTTTCGTACTTGAGGAAAGCTGCTAGTGAGTCGGTTTTCGAGAGATATTTGGCAGCCGAGTGCATTAGTTCATCGGAGCTGTTTACGCCCAACATAGTCGTACAATTGGGCGTATTCGTATTAGAATTCGCTGGGGTTGCTGATGTCGCCGCGCCTTGAACATTGAGTTTGAGACTTTGTTTGCGATTCGAGAGGCTATTATCGCGACGTGCGACCCGTGGACTCTTCGTCACCGCATAATCGTTCACGCACACCGAACGTACAGGCATCTCATCGTATTCCTCCGGTTTAAGAAAATTCGTAGAGATTGGACCTTCATCAGAGAGACCACGTTGTATGGTAGGACGATGATTTTGGGCGAACAGTGGGCGTGATGAAAGCATCGGCGAACGACGCGGACCGCGCAGTGAAGATGTACGTCGAAAGTTCGATGGCGTTTTGTTAGTAGTCGCAGAAGGTATCGTCGGCGTGCGTTGGTTCTGTGAGTTGGTCGTCAATGGACTAGAGTTGGGCGTGAAAGTGCTGAGTGTGAGTGAAGTGGACATTTTAGCGGGCAAACCAGCTGGTGCCGAAGGAGTTTGTGTGGAAGTTTTCGGGAGATTTGAGGAAAAGGAGGGATTATTTGGTGGAGAGGATGAGCAAAGCTCCTCCAGTTGACGCTTAGCCGAGAGGAAAGGATCGTATTTGTCGGACGGCAGACCGCTAAAAATATATTATAATTAGTGAAGTAAAAATGTTTAGAAAGCGTACGATAATAAATACGTTAAAGTAAAAATAATCTTGCGATACTGTCACTAAATTCTTGAGATGATTTGGGATCACAGTTAAAATGAGTCTTCCTGGCCTCGCCTTCTGCATACGTATTCATACAAACCTGAGCACAAATGACTTGTCACGTGCCAACTTCGGCGGCGCCTTTATCACCTTAATCTCATCTTCTGTCTCGTCGTCGGCCAATATACGGCTGTCGTTGTCTTTCAGCTGCTCACCGCCATTGCTTGGCAACTTTAATGGCATCGTAAAAATCTCTATGCTTTCTTTTATCAAAGGGATCGCCTTCATTGGTGCGGCATGTGACGAAATCGATTGACGCACTAACTTTTTGCGTTTGGGACGACATATCGTCAAGGAACGTATGGCATTCACATCCAATTTCGTATGTGAGGTGGTTGCCGACGAGGTGGTCGCAGTTTCGACAGTTGTTACGTTAATCGTGTTGTTGGGCAGCTTGTCGAAAGTGGTCTGACGTCTCTGAAGCATTTGCATGGGTGCTGTAAGCGGCGATGATGATGGTGCGTAGCGTTTCAGTTGTTGTTGCTGCTGCTGTGAGTGCATTTTCAGCATTTCATATGATTGGTTGTTACGTACTTCGCCGCGTTGCACGTCTTCCTCATCATGGTCCGTCATTACAGTGCCCGCGTCTCCGCTTAAACTTGGCTCCGATGGCACTTTGGACTTCAATTTATTTCTTGACTTGCTGTCTGCGTTATTTGTCGGCTGTGTTTGAGTATGACGCGGCGGCGTTGTGGGTTTACTGATGGCCTTTAAAGGACACGCAGTGTATGTCAAAGTTGCAGACAAAGTTTTTGGGTCGCCAAGGCTTTGCTCTCTTGTTTGCTCTGTGCGGTGATGAAGGTGATATGAATGAATGTGGATGAAAGCAGTAGGTTAAAGCTTAAGGAAATGAGCGTGGTAGAGAAATGAAAAGGCTGCAAGTATGTAGGATTGGAGTCCGAGCTCCAACTGACATCCAGGCGATGGAAGACTCCCAGTAATCATAAACTGGTGCTCGGAGGATTGGGGAAGGCGGAACAAATATTACTGTGCTGAAAAAGTTTGTCCAAGAAAATATTAAACTCGAGCTTTTAAAAACTTGCATCCTCCGCTAAGAAGGTATGCATATCTGTACTGGGCTCTAGGTCACACTAAAATTATTGACAAAGAATAGGCCCACGTACGCCGTAAAGAAGGTGCTCTTTAGCAAAAACTGTCTAGAGGAAATACATCGATGTCACTAACAAACAATTAACCGGAGCTTGTACCCGAACCAATACACAAAGCTGTGCACCAAATCACACGAATGCAAGGTCTCTAGAACGATGTATGGAGTATCTGGTAGCGAAATTGAAAAATTTATTTTATCGCTTAAGAGGAGGCACGCTAGTCTATTAGTTGGGGTACAAACAGTTCTCTTGGCTTCACGTGCTTTTAAATTGGCATTGACCTGTGATAAAATTTGCAAGAGATGCAAAAGTAGTGAGGAGATTGTGAAGCATATTCTCTCAGACTTTATAAGGCCCTGAGCAGTTAAGACGATTGTGATGTTCTTCAACATCGCTCTTCATTAAAGACATTGGCTTCGGTAGTTTGTCTAGTAACGCTATGGGCCTAAATGGTCTCTGTGAAGATCCAGCCTACCCTTCTGAGACGAAAACTGGCATCAAATTCTTTCTAGTCCTTTCCTCTTTATCGGAATTTAAATTAATGTAGACTGAAGTATTCGACTTATAGAATGCCAGACAAATTTCTAATAATAAACAGTTCGACTGTGGCTGAATTCCGGTGTTTCAGTGTAGGTTGGGCGATCACACAGACAGGGCATCTCGTCTCCGTGATGAGGCTAATCTGGCGCATGTGATAGCCCTTATGGTTCCGACCGATTAGGTACCCCTAAAGTCAAAACTGAATTTCAAAAATTGGTTCAGGCGGCAAAATTTTAAGTGAGTTAATTTTGGTTCGCATCTAGAATTGAAAAAAAAACAAACAAACGGAAGATGGAATCCAGAGGCTGTAAAAGAAATTATCGCAATAGTCCGGATAATTAATTATTTTGAACTGCAGGTATGGTGGAATAGCTCTGATAAGGCTGAGCAACGGCTAAGTTCTTGACGGATTTAAAGCCTTCTATTTAAGTTCGAGTCTTAAAAATTTATATTATTATTTATATTTATTTTGCCTTTTTCTTAGTCCATAAACACCGCCAATGATATTTCAGCCCTAGGTAGAGAATTTGGAGAATCTCGGAGTATATGGAAATCAGTGATCTTTGAAAACTTTGTCCAGATTTTTTATAGAGTCTGCACCAATCTTAATAGACCTAAGCAAGTAAATAGGTACCATTATTTTCCTCAAGCGTCTAAGAATTTTTTTTAACCGCTTTTCTTAAACAAAAAAAAGATAACCAAGTGTGCGAGATATTTATACCTGAATGGGCAACCGTCATCCTTTCATCGTAATTGCGTGTGCGAACCTTCTCGCATTGCGACGATTGTGGCGGCGGTGGTGTTGCTTCGCTCGAAGCTTGGTGTTGCTGCTGCTGCTGTGTGTGTAGCCTACTTATTGCATTCAGTGTAACACGGCGCTTTGGCGGCTTCTTCGTGACGGTATTGCCCTTAGTCAATTTGGCGCCCATTAAGTGGAGATTATCGAAGCAAGCACTCCTAACGTAATCATCAAAGCTGGCGGCGGCAAGGCGCGTGGGAGAGGGCGGCGGTAATTCAATGTCGTTTCTATGCGGCTTGCGGGCGCGCAATGTGTTATGGAAATCTTTCAAAATGGCGGGTTTTCTAGCGTTGCGGGAGGGTAGATGATAGAATGATAGCGATTCGATGACAGATGATAGTGGGATGATGGGTTTTGTGCAGAACCCGTATGCGTAGCGGAGAGAGAGATGGGTAAATTGTTGAAATTTATTAAATCTTTTTTTTTAAGCTTCTCACTACGTGCTTGTTTTTGCCAGCTATCTACATACTTTTCAACACAAATTTAGTAATTTTCAAAAAAATAAACTTTCAACAAGTGTGGTGAAATAGTGAGGTGACATAAAATGAGTAACAGTATCGCAAATAAATTACACTAATTTTTTAAATTATATGAAATACTCTGGAAAATTTTCGCCACTACTTAGAACAAAAGAGTCAGTTTACCGTTAGTTTAACGCTAATCGTTTATCGTTAGTTAATTGCCTACTCACCTTTCACTGGTTACCGAAGATGTCATCGATAGCGACATAATGCCGTTAGCGTTATTGTTGCCGCTGCTGTTATTATTGTTGTTGCTGTTGTTATCGTTGCTACCTTCACAGTTTTGTATTGTATTGTTGTTTGTGTTATTGTTGCTGCTACTGTTGTTATGGCTGCCGTATCCGGTTTTTAGACTATCGCCGATTTCGTACTCATCGCCAGCCAAGCCCGCGTATTTGTCACGATTAATCGAACGCTTTGTTCTGCAAAAATATCGCCAATTAATACATTTCTTTTTGTTTAAGTTTTCTGTTCGAAAACGTTGGTAAAAAAATCGTAAAAAAGTATAAAAACAAATATTTTAACTTTGCTATCTTGCCCTCATCGGTTGGCAAACCCGTTTCTTTTGCTTCTTTCCCGATTATTTTACCACAACATTTGACAAATTGAGTGAATAAAAATTTGGGGGGAAAAATACAATACAATTGTACTGAAATTTCAACGCTTACTTGAGACATGGCGCCCGGTATTTGGTGCGCGCCTCCAGTCGCTCTTTGGCCAAGTTTTGTTCGCCTTTTGTCGTATGTTTGATAGACGCCTGCAGCGCCTTCTCCTTGCACCACTCCACATGGCGATCGTAGGCCTTCGGGCCAAAACAGCGCTCACAATGTGGACACTGTTCGGCCGGCGGTGGCTGTATGCGCTTGGCCAGTGAACGGTCGGACGAGCGCATGCGATCGCGTGTAAAGCTGCCAGCGCCGGGAAGCGATGTGGTCGACGATGTCGATGCGATCATTTGACTGTTGGGTGTAGTGTGATTAGAGGCGCCACCACCGGCGTTTGTTGCTGCTGCACTGTGAGCGCTGGGCGACTGTCTGTTTGCAGTGCCGACGCTTGCTGCCAATTTCCGCATGGAGGCGCGCGCTGTGCTGCGCACCAAATCCTCACCGCCGCTCGACTTCTTACGCGTCAGTATGGGGGAGGCAATGTGCTGCAGATAGAGAAGGGGCATTGTTAATGCATTGAATAGTTAAATATTTTCGTTCAATGCCGCACACTTACCTGCAGCGGCTTCGGTGATTGTCCGCGCGGCTCCTGTTTTGCCGCTGGCAAGCCGAAATTTTTCGGCAGCGGATAGCTAGCCAGTTCGGTGCCTTCGCGTCGCTGTCGTGAGGAATCGAAGATATTGCGCTTCTTGGCCGCCATTTTTTCGCAGATGCCCACATGTTTCTGCAGCGTAACCGGATTGAAGGTGCGCCGACAGACGGGGCACGGCGCCAATTCGGAGGGTGCATCCAGATAGGGATCCGCCGAGTTCGCAATTGTGTTGCTGTTATCTGTTGCAGTTGGTTGTATGGTGGAAGGCGAAGGATGGGAGATAAAAGGGAAGAAAAAATGGAGGAGAAATAGAGTTTGGTTGCTTCCTTATTATTATTATTTGAAAAATCAGTATAAAACGTGTTGTATATTGACAAATTGATAATCTTTTACATATTTATTTTATTTTTCAAAATGTATTTTGTTGCTAAAGTGGCATTAGTGATTGTTGAGAAGTGTAGAAAGTGAAGCAAAATTATGAAATTTTTGTTTTTAGTTTTTTTTGCCGCCACTTTTGGAGGCTGCCACATCGACGCAGAGTCTTCGCATGAAGTTTTTGATTAAGTTGGGTACATGCATGCATGTGCCGAAACCTGGCACTCATATCGCATTCACACATATACACATAATTCTACGCGACGCTATTTTAAATTGCTATTTCTATGTGTAATTCTATTATTTTTACCGCAAAACATTTCTTAACATTTTGTACATTTTTGTAAGCACATTTAAGCTGTAGTGGCCCATGTTCTTGTTTGTGTTGTCGTCATGTTGCAATGCCAGGCGACAAATTCGTCTCGATCCACTCAGCACATTGCCTTGTGGAAACAATGAACTTCTCTGCCTATTTTTAAAACCCAAACAAAATTTGCATGCCGCATATGTACAACAAAAATCGACCCAGTAGGAAATTCAAGAATTTGTTTTTGGTTTTTAAATTAAATGTTTTTAGGAAGATTTGTTTTAGTTGGCGTAGAAAATCATCGTTTTTATTTTCAGACAGCTGAAATTGATCCAGTGGAAGTTGAAATAATTTTCACTTATATTTCTTAAATGATTTGTTTAGCTTTTCTCTTTTACTTAGGGCAGAAAATAACCGGTAATATTTTCGGACAGTCAAAATCTACCCAGTAGAAAATCTAATTTTTTTTTAATTTTCGACAAAATCAATCCCGCAGGGATTTCATAAAAAAATATTTTTTAATTAAGAATTTTTCAGCTCCTATTTTAATCAGGAATAGAAAATAGCCGTTATTTTAATTTTGGACAACCGATCGGCCTTGTAGGAAATTAAAAAAACATTTTTTTATTTAAATATTTTTTAGCTGTTATATTTTAAACATATTCAGAAAATAATCTGTATTTTTTCAGACAACGGAAATCGCCCCAGTAAGAAATGATGTAGAAGAAAATTTTTTTTTTAAATATGTATACAAATTAAGAATATGCTTCATTTTAATCAGTGACACAAAATAAGCGGTTTTTGTGGGACAGCGAAAGCCAACCATGTAGGGATTTAATAGGAAAACATTTTTTTATTAATAATTTTTCAGCTGTTCTATTTTAATCAGGGGTAGAAAATAACGGTTATTTTTCGTGCAGCGGAATCGGCTTCGTAGGAAATTAAAATAAACATTTTTGATATGAGAATTTTTTATCTATTTTTTTTAACATATAAGAAAATAATCTTTTTTCTAATTAAAATCTAACTATTTTTGGCGGAGCTGTTTTATTTATTGACACAAAATTAGCGCTTTTTTGTACAGCGTAGGTTGACCCAGTAGAAAATTATTGGAAAATGTTTGAAAATGAAATCTAGCTTTAATTTCCTTCTTAGTAGGAAATTTTGAGAAAAATATATACTTTGAAGAATTTTTTCCTATTTTTTTGATAAGTTCAGAAATGAATTTAGTGGCGGAAAAATTTAGCATCTTTTCTTTTAAGAAGGAAGTTCAAAAAAAATTTATTTAACGATTTTCTTGAAACTTTGATAAAAAATTGTGAAAAATAGCTTATCTTTTAATTGTATTAGGAACTTTTATAGAATACACAATATTTTAATCCAATATTTTTCTTTTTATTTTTTTTTTTGGGGAGTAGGAAATTTATAGAAAATTATTGAAAAAACTAGGTTTGCTTTTCTTTTTAAGCAAGAAATTTATAGATAAACTTATCGAGGGCCTATATTCAATAGCCTCTATCAGCATTTTTCACAAAAATGAGGTTCTGATATAAAAATCCTTGTTTAGATAGCGCTTGACAGAAGAATTTACAGAATTAAGAACTGCAAAGTCATAATTAACATAAGTGGTGACAGATAAGCCCCAGATGGGTTCTAACATCACAAAGTAGTTTTTGTGAAAATTGCAGAAAGAGGGTATTGTATATAAGCTCTTTTTAACCAAGGAAAGAAAAAAATAGTATTTTGATCTTTTCGGTTGCAAAAGTTTTATTCATAAAATTGTTAAAAGATTGCCAATCGTACTTGCTTTGTGTTTTTAACCATTCGCGTTCTTTTTTGTAGTTTGAATTTTTTTTTTTAGATTTTGTTCGATATTTTATGACTCTATATTGAAAATAATGGTTATTTTTATTTTGCTGAAAAATATTTTGGAACTATATTGTTTTTATTGTATTTTAATTCACAAGAAATTGGAAACGATCGCTACGGTCATAGTTATAGCTTTCGATTTTGTTATTGATATTTTCATCGTTATCATTTAACTTTATTATACACTTTAGTTACCGTTTCACTTACAACTACCTACCACGCCGTTATATCATTTACAGAAGAAAGCTTTCCAAATAAAATCAGCAGCAGGAAATTAATAGCACTTCATAAAAAAAATATTCCCTTAATCCGGGATAGAAAATGGTCGTTATTTGAATTTTTTTCGGTTGCGAAAATTTTATTCTTACAACTTTTTTTCCAAAATCCCTGCAGAATCATTATTAAATTTTTTTGTTGGATTTTTTATTTTTAATTTTTTGATCTTTTTCTTATTAATTATTGTTTTAAAATTTTTTTTCTGCTGCTATCGTTATTTTTATCGATATTTGTATCGTTACAGCTGTTTTTCGTTTTTGTTTTCCTTGATTTTTTTTGTAAAGTTCAATGCCGTTATAGCAGTAATAGAAAAAAAATTTCCAGCATTTGGTTGTCTTGCACATTTTGAATACTTACAAAGGGACGTATTTATAGTCAGTGAAAATAAAGTCGACTCTAAACTTAATTGCAGTTGTTTGACATACTTACATACTTTTCAATGGAATATCAGCCAAAAATTTGCAACTGATTTTGGAATCGACTTTATTTCGACTATGAATATGCCCCATAGTTTTTCCTACTGGACTGAGCCGTTAAGGAGCTGCTACGCTGAATGCGTCGCGTACTCACATTTCTTTCAACGCGATCGTATGCAGCAATGAAAATTTCCCGGAAACAGGCATAGATTTAATTAGGGATCTCTGTGGATGACTCATTTAGGTATTCAATATATCTATACATGCATATATAAAATTTAATATTTTTACATATACGTATACGTACGAATATCGTCCATAACAGGATGCAGTGTTTTAGGATAGCAGACGTCTGCTTACAAAAAGCAATTATGTTTAGAATTTAGTGGGGAAATAATTTTTTAATATGTATTTACTCTAATGGTTGACAATTTTCAAAGTGAAAAAAATACGTTTTCTTCATTTCACTGACCGAATATCTCAGTTTCAATTAGCATTATTGTTGAACCATTCCCATTAATCATTTGCATCATCATCATTAACCTATCTAGCGCGCATACTCGTGTCAACAGCTTTAGTGTTGTAGAAAGTTAACCAAACACAAAAGATAAAAAAATTTGAAATTATAAAAATCATAACTGTGCCAAAATGTGCAAAGTAGGCTTCTCTTCAACGCGTTGAACTGCAGAACAGGTGTGGCGGCGCGTTTTGTTACACCTTTGAGCACAATGTACTTGTTTTTGATGTATATATTTTTTCTTTGTTATTTTCCTGGCGGCTGCTTAATCATTTTCTGCACGTTCATCTTACGATTCGATACGCAAATATGCATCGAAGTATTTGTAGGCATAACGAAACGAATCGCCCACTTGCAAAGCAATAAAGGAAGTAAAGCGAAGAAGAGGCAAAAAAAGTTTTGAAGAAAAAGTAACAAATTCAAAAATCTGGCCAATACTTTGTGGGCGCATTGTTTTAAACTACTCGTGGTAGCACTACAGACGAGGTGCCGTATTTAGGTAACACGCGCTGATGGGCCATTTGAATGAGGAGAGGGGTTAATGCGGGGGTAAATAAAATGCAGGTTGAATGAAGGTACCAGCGGCAGTTAAGTTGAGAATGAGTAAATTTTTGAATGATCTATGAAGACCATGATTTCGTAACTCTTCTATATGTAACTCCAATTGGCGTGATGCATATGCTAGAAGTATGTGTCTCCATTTGGTATGTCATGCGATTGAAAATCGGCGGACCCCGAACAATGCTTCTGTCATAAAGTCGTCGTTAGATTTGAGAATCTTGAGTCCCCTGAACAACCTTTTTCTTTAGGGGGGACCACTCTGTGCTTTGTCGAAACAACGGTACCTCTTTTGGTTAGCCTTCTCACTAGATAAGGATATCTGGTTTTGTTTCGGTTATTCGTAGGTTGGCTCCAAAAACGGATTATTGGATTAAAAAATATTCAAGCGTTAAAAAATACCATAATAGATATGGGTATGAAAAAAACAAAAAATAAAAAATTTGTTCCAGACATTTTTTAATAGTAACCATTGCCAACTCTCAATAATTTGGCTACAAAAGTTAATAGATTTCGTAGCGAATATGCATTCAGACTACAGTTCTATTGCGCCCGACTTGTGTTTATAACTTTCTTTAGCAGTTTCATGCGTAAAAAGCCGTAGCCATTTTATTTTTTATTTTTATGCTTTATCTCTACTTTATTTATAGAAGACCTCTTCAATTTTAACGTAGTTTTTTTAACAGGGTTGCCACTTATGTAGATATTTAAAATTATAATTAAAATTTTTAAGCTAGAAAAATAATAGAAATTAAAAAAAAAAAACAAAATACAACTTTTATCTACGAAAATTTTTAAGTAGAATTGCCACCTCAGAAAAATTTTTAATGTTCGTAAATGTGTGCAGACGTAGACTATCTGCAATACCTGCTGTTTCATAACAATAGTGCTATGTTTTGATTAGTTTTCACCTTCCAATGATTTAGTTTTTGAGACAGCTGGCAACTATCTTTCAGCTTTTATTGTAAGAAAGAAATTCGTGATTTGAGATCTTCTAAAATTCAAGTGCTACATCTCGAATTTTTATTTATGGTATCTAAAAAGATACGAGCACATATTTTACTTGGTTTTAAAAGCTGTGCAAAAAATTTAGCATATGCATCTTCTCATAATGCCATAACCATTTTGCAACAAATTTGACCAATTTTCTGCAAAAATCTTTTTTCCGTTTCCCTACGTGATATACATATGTATGTATTTATGTAGTTAAACCTGCCATACCAGCACATTATGGGCACTGCTATTATTAAACATTATAGCCACTTGACACCGCCGTCACAGAATCTGTGCAATTTTTAATGGACGAAAGTACTTTTGACATTTCGCAAGCATACGTTTTATGTTCCACAAGAGTAGTCACAATTTAAATTGTGCCAGAGTTATGCGGAATTGTGTGCCGGTTAATTGCAAGTAAGCAATTCGGTGCCACTCTTTCATGTTCATGTCCATGGCAGAGCAGTGGAAAGGCATTTATATTATACAAATATATACATACATATGTAACTTAAAGGAGCCACATTTAGCGGCGACCACTTGAAAATTAAAGTTATGTGGCAATGCATTACAACTGAAAGCAATTCGACTCGCGTTGGTGCTGGTAGTGGCGTCCCTCCATCCAGCGCGCACATTGGGTCAGGTCGTTGGTGCTAAATATAGTTTTCTAGACTGTACTGTTACTCAACGCATTAGTGTAATTTTTTTTATACAAAATTGTTGTTGTCTTCTTTACATTTCTTTGGCTGCTTTCAGCTGTTGCTATAGCTTTCGTGGCAGCGTAATTAATATCTCTCAACTTCTACACATTTTTTTTTGTGCACTCCGTACTTGAGAAGTTTGCGCAAACTTCTTCTTGGAAATGCATGACTAGCTGGCAAGGTGCTTCTTCTGCTCAAAGCGTTTCACAAATAAGTACATAAGTACTTAGCTGCGACAGCGCATGAAGACGACTTCAAAAGTGTTTATTTCTGTTCTCAATTAACAGGTAGTGAATGAAGCAATAAGAATGAGTAAAAAAATAAACTAAGCAGTAAATAAAAAGTCAAAAGAAAACTGCGGAAGATTTACATATGCCACTTTTCGTAGAAATGGTATGGAATTCTTGAAAATCAATATTTTTCGATAGGAAAGTTCTGGTTCTCTTCAGGAGTCTTCTATTAACAATACCCAACAGCTTATTTAACCATTTTTTAATACTACAGATTTTTTATTAATCCCCTCATAGCTTTTTGTAGCATTTTCTGTGGGTTTTGGCGGGCATATAAAATATAGTTACTATGAAAAAATTGTTAAATAAATAATTTTGTATTATTATTGGGAATTTCCTGAAGAGCAACATAGTTTTCCGGTCGAAAAATATTGATTTTCAAGAATTCTATACTATTTCTACGAAAAGTTGTTTTTTTCCCATATAAAATACATGGAAAACTTTGAGCGCTTCGAGCGACTCTAAATATTTTTTGATTTCAAAATAAAAAAAAACAAGCGTATGAGGGGGTGAGAACATAAAAATTCTGACTTTCCTTTGTCAAATGCATTTTTGGATCACCAGAGTGTACATACATACATACATATTTATATACTACACATATCGAGCCCTAACCGCAAAAAATATGTAAGCGACATTTTTGTTTTTAAAATTTGTTTGTTTGATGCAGAAATGTGCCTAGAGCATCTAGTTGCATTTATGCATCAAAAATAAAATAATGAAAGCATGTCCCTTAAATGCATAACCTTTTGCAAACATACCTTTGGCCTTGTATCAAGAATATGCATATGTATGTATGTATGTAGAAATGTACATTTTCCTAGTATGTAGTACATTCGTGTGAATTACATACAAACCTTTAGCCTTGCCAATTAGCTCAAAGCTGATAATTTTTGACACAAAACCATCAATAAGGTTGAATACTCGCTCTACGAAATCGTTCTGCAGTTGTTTTTTTTTGTCTCTAGCTATCAGCTACTCTATTGACCTTTTTGAACTAGCAAGATGAAATGATGTATTGCATATAAACGCTGAATAATACTTATGTCCATATACGTATATACTTACATATACATTTGTATATATATAATAATTATGTAAAAGCTTTCGCTTGGAGAAGTTTTTCCGCAAATCAAAAATACTAATTCGACTCTATTCACGGACTATGGTTCATATCAGAGATATTATTATTAAGGGGTTGGTCCTTGGCGAAAGTTGTATTCTTTCCATAGGTGAGTAGATCCTCCTATATAGAACCAAACCACTTTCGGCCGATGAGCATTACTTTTTTCTTCCCTAAGGTATTGGGAAAAACGACGACATAAATAGCTCTACATCAGATAAGACTACCGTTGAAAAAGCACTAGTTTTTAGGGATTTCAGACTCGGTGTGTGATTTTCAATATCGAAGCTCCCTTTAATAACGTTTCCCCGGAGGTTTTCGGTAACTCCCTGAATTTGCCTCTAATACGGTTTGTTCGTCTTAACTTTGGCAGGAGAAGTACGTACATATATGTACATAAGGTAATGATTATAACAGAGTTTTTTTGAGTATTGAGTACTTTCGAGTTCTTTTAAATTATGATTACTTTCAAGTTCTTTTGTGAGTACTGAGTGCTTTGGAGTACTCAGTATCGATATTTTTTCAAATACATATTCGCGAAGCTATGGGCAAAATATAGTAAAATTTCGTGTTTAGCTTTTCTTAGAACTTTGCAATTTCAAAAATATGATTAATTCAAAAAATCAAAAAAAAAAACAATATGGATATCAAATAAAAGAGTAAATTCTGAAGAATTAAAAAATTTGTAATTTTTTGGTGCATAAAGGCGAATGGGTATGGAAAATGTCCTTTTAAAATTTTGTCCTTGAATATCCTTTAAAATTTTCAATATTTATTTTTCAAAGAAATATATGTTAAGAATTAATTTAAACACTTTTAATACTTATTCGTCTTTGTAACCCAAAATCTTTAATGTTTTTAAGTTCTACAGATTTTTCTCTTTCATTTGGTACCCATACTTTTATTCTACATTGTAGCAAATTTTTTAAATAGTTCTTTGAGTTTATCATATCTTTGAAATTTCAAAGGCCTGACGTCAGAGGGAAAAATTTTAAACACAATTTTACTATATTTGTCCCATAGTTACGTGAGTATACCGATTGTTCCGTGTGTTTTTAAAATTGTTTGTTTATGTGGCACGGTGTCATCACTACTTTCTTGAGTCTGGCTGAACTAAGTACAGCTAGCGTCTACGATTTTGTGACCAAGGACAGAAAAAATGTATAGGGCCTCATTTGCGGTAACACAATGGGAGTGTGCCAGCTTCCAGCGATGGATTAATATTTAATTTTATTTTATTTTATATAAATATAGTACAGCTGGAGACCACATGACCATTATCACACAGCAAGTGCTGGCCTTTTGAAAGTCGATTAGGTGACGTGAAGAAATTTTGATTTAATAATTCATATAACTCATATAATTTATGTAAAAGTGGTTATATAACTGCTTAAACGGCGATTAAAATTTTATGAAAGGCAACAAACTATCGAAATAATTCCCGCAAGTCATTTGTCCAAATAAGAAACCCATAAATAAATCATAACGCTTAGTGGAATAACATTTTTTTGTTGGCTTTTTTTTTGTGTCAGTTTATTAGTTCATTGCAACTAATTACACGATTATGTGCATTTATGGAAATTCACCTGCTGCTATGTATCGCACTAAAGTTGCCTTATAACTTTCATTTGCAAGTTATAAATTTCGTTATTTTTTCGTAGTTACATAAAAAGTAATGCGCATTTGGTTTAAACGCTTCCAGAGCTGACAAGATAGGGTCATGTACGTAAATATGTATGTATGTAATTAAAAAAATAAAAACAGCTAATTGCGGTAAGTGTAATGAAAATACACAGTGAAGACCTTTAATTCATGATGACAGCAATGACTAAATTTTACCAAAATGGCAGTAGCTTGGCATTAAAAAAATAGCATGTCTTGTCGATACGCAGATTACCAACTACTCTTCGCTTTTGGTGAAAGAAGAATTGGAAAGGTGCTACTGTGGGTCAAAATATCATATTTTTCAGCTGTAAGCCAAACATATGAAATACATAGGCACCAATTTACTTAGAAAAAATCTACATGGTGCCACTGGTTGACAGAAAAAAAAACACTCACCTAAATATGAACATATCATCATGCAAAATATAAAAAAAAAAACAATAACATGAGTTATGGTCCCACCTCCCACACAGCTTGTTCTTTCCCATCTAATTTCCTAATTTAGAGGCACTGGATTGCCAGTTAAAAAGGGCTGTAACCCTGGAATGCCATATCACAAATAGCTGGAGTCGAGTGGTAAGAGCTTACTACTAAATAATACCCGCCAAGACTCAGATACGGTCCCAAGACGGCGCAACATCAAAATGTTAGGAGACGTTTTTTTGTTTGTTAAATAGCAGTGGGCAGGCGATAGGCGAACCTCCTTGCGTATTTTCATCTTAAAAAAACGTCTCTCAAAAGCTTTCACCGTTTGAATTTGGCTTCAATCTCTCTAAAATGATGCGTGATCGCTAAATTTACTATATCATTTTTATGCTAGGGCGTAGTACTACCCTAGTACGATTATCAGCATCTATTAAACCTAACCTGGGTTCAAGCCCTGGTCAAAGCAACATCGCAAAAAATATAGAAAAACGTTTTTCTTAACAGCGGTCGTCCCTCGGCAGGCAATGGCAAACCTCCAAGTGTATTTCTGCCATGAAAAACAGCTTCTCATAAAAATACAATCGCCGTTCGGAGTCGGCGTAAAACTGTAGGTCCCTCCGCTTTGTGTGACAACATCAAGGCGCACGCCACAAGTCGGAGGAGAAGCTCGGCCAAACACTAGCATATGTGTAAGCGCCAATCTATATAATATAATAATTAAACCTAAAAAAATTGCAAGCAAACATTTACGCTCGCTGGACAATTTTCACAATCTTAACCTAATAAATTGCATTTTGAACCACAGTGCCGCTCGACAAATGACTTGACATGCTAATAAAAATGATGTTATCGAACAATCGATCAATGGTGCAAGGTGTCTGATGGGTGATTGATTGAATGTGCATGCAGTGCATTTGTAGTCCGTATGTATGTATGTAAGCGAATGTACATATTTACACTCGTGGGCATAGTGATAGGTACAAAATTCAAATTAATATTGTTTGCAATTAATATTTATCTATTTATTTATTTTTAAGAATTTTAATTTAAAATATAGTTCGATCTGTAACAGAAACCATATAAATAAAACTTTCAAAGCTTGCAAAAAATTCACAAAAATTATTCAAACTTCAAAAATTTTCATCAACATTTCAAATTTTTATTCAGAAGTTTTTCGAGTATGAAATTTTTTACCCCATTAAATTTTAGTATAATAAAGTTGAAGTTTCAAGCTTAAAGAAAAATTACCTTTGATTTTTTAGAGTTTTTTTTTGTCGAGGGTGCTGGAATATTTTTTTTTTCTATATAAAAATAGATTTTGTTCATACGTTATATGGAAAAAATGCTAAATGTCCTCGCCAAAATCAACCGTAATTTTTATTGACTTGAAACTTGCACCTTATTATACTCAAATTGAATGGGCTACAAAATTACATCCTAGAAAAATTCTGAAAAAAAGTTTTAAATTTTGATGAATTTTTTTTGAAGTATGATTAATTTTTGAGACTTTGTGCAAGTTTTGAAATTCTATTTATGCGGTTTCTGTTATAGATCGAACTATGTATGTCTATGGTATTTTAAATGAAAATTCCTAAACATAAAGAAATAAACATAAGTGACAAACAATATCATTTTGAATTTTATACCAATTATTATGACCATCAGTGTATATGGATGCGTGTGTGTATGCAAGCATATTAGAGCAATAATTTACTTTTTTCAAAATGCACAGCGTCGGGCGGCATGCGCGTGTTAGTAGAATTGGTAGTAGTAAAAGTAGTAGTAGTAGTAGTAGTAATGGTAGTAGCTGTTGTTGTTGCAGCAGTACTAGCGGCTGCTAAAATGGAAACATTGTCATGCGTTGCACTTGAATGCATTCGCTTGGCGGCGGTGGCGACGGTCGGGGCGATGCTGTCATGGCCAACACCATCGCCATTGAGGACACATTGTGGAGGTTCAGTGACAGCAGCTGTAATGCAGCTGTTGTGCGCAACAATCGATGGCGCTATTGTTGTTGCTGTTGTTGCAGACACCATTTTTGGCATAGCCATTGTCACAATTTGTTTAATAACAATCAGTACTTGTGATGAGCGGCGCTCTTGTTGTTGTTGTTGTTGCTGCTCTTTTATATTCGTTGCTGCTGCTTTGTCCTCTTTTTCGCCTGCTACGCCTCCTTCTTCTTCATGCTGTTGTTGTTGCGGCGGCCACCGCCGCCTTTGCAACGCATGACTGCTACACTGTTGCTGCTGCGACTGCTTTTGTTGTTGTTCTTGCTGGTTAGTAGGCGTATCATGCTGAAAAAACTCACTCTTTGGCAATTTGCCCGCAGCATTGACATTTCCGTTTCCCTTTTGGCTAAGCGTTGTTTGTTGTTGTTGCTGCTGCTTTTGTTGTTGTTGTTTTTGCGCACTCGCATTGTGACTGCGCTTAAGCGAAAAACTGCTAACCACTTTGGCAAATGTGGACTGCTGTTTGGCGAGCGCACCACTGCCGTCCGAGTTGCAGTTATTTTTATTGCCAATTAGCTGGTCGTTGGCACCTGTCGCTTCTGCTTCGCGGCTGCCTGCTAGCGATGGTAATGTCTGCTCAGGCTGACGGCTCGCAAGCGCTTGCACTATTTTGTAATCGTTCGCGCTAGTCTGGCCATCGTTTGCCGTTTCTGCTGATGCGCTAAATTCCGCCATATTTGTTGTTGTTGCCCGATTACCGCTTGCAACATCCGCTTCAGCTGCGCACGCCTCATGTTGCGGCAACATTTTTCTCTGCTCCCATTGCTGCTCCTCTTCCTGCGGCTGCTTAGCTTCACGCTCCTTGCCTTTTGTCAGCTTTTTTGGCTTCTTTGCGGCTTCCGCTTGCCCAGCTGGGCCCGTCAGCTGCTGATATTCGTCGTAAATGCTGCAGCGCTTGTTCGCTTTGACCACAGTCGCTGCGGATAATTTGGAATTTTTCGTCGTTTTGGACGATTTGAAAATTTTATTCCACATTTTTTTACTCATTTTGTATGTGTGCGCTTCTTTTTCACTTTATAAAAGCCAAACAAAAAACGAAATTCAGCTAACTCTCAAAATTGTTGCAACAGTTTCAAATCACTTGCGCTCAGATTTACTCAAAACACTTCACAGCACTTTGTTTGGTTTGGATTTTCGCTTATTCTTATTCTTTCTTAAGTTCACTTTTTCATTGATATGGAGTATAACCAGAATACACTTTTTCCTTTAACTCATACTCTTTCCATTTGCCACCCGCTTCACTACACCTTACACGCGCCATGTTCATGGCAAAATTTCCATGCTCTTATCGTTTATATAGCTCAACTAGATTGTTCGCACAACTTTTCGATTTCGGCAACAAAATGCGACTGATTGCGCGTTGTGAAGTAAATAAAGTGTAGACCACCGGCAAATGCGATCAAGCGCTTAGTGAGTACTCGAACTAACAGCTGCTGCCACCGCTTCTGCTCGTGCTTTGTTTGCTCTTGCCACTTTTGCCATTACTGCAGCGATTGCTGCTACTGCGTCGGCCGCGGCAACTGCTGCTCCACTTCACGCGCCATCTGTGCTGCGCTTCGCCGGCAGCGTGTACTGCTTTAAAATACACACACAAACAGACTTCTATATAATTCTGCGTTGCTTTATTTCGTTGCTGTTCTGTTCCGGCTCTGCCGCTCTTCACCTCTTCTCGACAAATAAGCTCTGTCGCAAACGGTCGGTAGTCTCTGAAGAAGCTCCAAGTTCCATGTTGTCTTCAAGATTTTGAGTGCGCCATTTACATATTGAGGCAAGCCCTCTAGGAAAAAATACTGCAGTAGAGTGAAAAATTTGTTGTAAGTTTTTTGGCGCGGGCAATCTGGTATTCCATATTCCACAGTCACATGCTGGTCCAAGAAGTTTAACCTGGGCAGAATTTCGAATAAATTAGATCCAAGAAATATACGACCATCCTATATTGATATCAGGGGCTTCCATGTGCTGGGTACCGAAAATATCGACTAACATGAGAAGGCACCCAAACCCGAAGTCGATGAGACGACTAACTTGACTGACGTTTGAAAAGGTATCCTATTCTCCAGATGTAGTAATCATTGGGCTCTATATTTTTCCAGCACTGACAGAAAAAATGACTTCTTAAATAAAAAAATGGTTTGGAGATCATACTTGTTTTGTTTTTTTTTTTTTTTTGAGACGATAGAGATTCAATAAAAAAACATAAGTTTACCCACTACTTATGTTTTTTATTGAATCTGTATAGTCTTCAAAAATTTTTATTCTTTTAAGTAGTAAAACGGTAAAAATACCGTCAAAAACACTATGAGAAGCATTGAAATTCAGATTTTGACTTCTTCGAAACCGATAAAGACTTTACTTTTGCCGAGAAAAGCGTCCTACAGGACAGAGTTTTCTGGCCTCTTTTGAGCTCTCTGATAGTAGACTTGCCTTTTAATCAAAGATTTCCTCTAGCGGAAACGCTTCAATCACATCTAAGATCACGTGAATTGTTTTTGCATTAGCGTCAAAAAAATATCTCTGGGAGCTCCGTGAGAGGCCGGAGAAAATCCTGAAGAGGAATAGTGATCTTCGACCTAGTCGAGAGTTTTCGGCCTATATCACAAAACTATTCGGAGGTCACTGAGCTTCTACTTCGGCTTGATATACACAGCTTTAGTCAGACTGATTATTACGTATTCCGCTGTAGTAGCGTTGGACAGATCATTACAAACATTTCATATGAAGGTCTGTGGAATGGCAGAGAACACTGGTGACCTTACCAGCCTTCTTGCCGCGCCTAGCCTTGGCAATGCAGTCTTTTTTACGTGGGAAATCGAATTGTAAGACCTCCCCATGCTTAAAGATGTAATAATAATAATAATAGATTGGCGCTTACACATATGTTAGTGTTTGGCCGAGCTTCTCCTCCGACTTGTGGCGTGCGCCTTGATATTGCCACACAAGGCGAAGGGACCTACAGTTTTACGCCGACTCCGAACGGCGATTGTATTTTTATGAGAAGCTGTTTTTCATGGCAGAAATACGATCGGAGGTTTGCCATTGCCTGCCGACGGACGACCGCTGTTAAGAAAAAACCTTTTTTTTTCTACATTTTTTGGGATGTTGCTTTGACCAGGGTTTGAACTCGGGTCCAGCGGAGTGGAAGCGCGCACTGCTTACCACTACACCACAGCGGCTTAAAGATGTAAGCCTGCATTTTTCTGCGGAAATGAAATATCTGGAAAAAAACGTATAAAGTTTTCGGACAATATCGAAGAACTTTTCCTTTGACTTGATAACTGAAAATTGTTTTGATACTCGTAAGCAGATCTTAAATGAGCGGTTGTATAGCCGTTCCGGGTACAACATCAGGAGAACCTCTTCAAAATTTGTTGGACTAGTTTCTATCAGATTTTATGCTACATGAAAAAGCAATACAAACGATGTTTCGAATGCATCCATATCCATTCGGTTGGGGTTGGGTTGGGGGACGACAGCCAGAGTTTCGGCACAGCGAGTTGTTTAAAAGGTTGTGGAGCCAACACCATTGATTATTGATCACAAATAAATAACCATCCGATTAACTTCGCTTCAAGAGAATACTGTAGAGACCTAGCCAATAATTTAGGGACTCGATCAAAACCTTTAGCACTAAGGGCTCCAAAATAGGAAATGGAACTAAAGACGGCTGGCATGTAGGCGGTAACTAATCGGAGTTTACAGTGATAGAAATTTGGCACTAAACACCTTGAATATCGCTATTACTTTTTCAGGACTTGTGTAGGGGGGTGAGTTGAGGTGAACCACATATGTATGTGTGTTGCAAAATGCACTAAGCTTAAACTCATGGGGCTATCGGGTCTCTATAGTATTGAAGGTAACGAATATTTGTTTTGACTCTGAGCTGTATCAGACGCCAGATCCCTCAGCACTAGCTGAGCCTTACCTACTATAATAGGAAAGACCAGTCAAACTGTGACAAAAGATCTTCAGTTAACGAACTATACTGATTTAGTTGATTTATTATGATTTAGTTTAGGATCCATTGTCCCATCTTATGCTTCCTTTTTAGTCCTATTATACTTATATCACTTACTATAGACATCTTAGTTTCTTAATAGGCTGCCAGTAAGTAGATATCTTAATACAGTGCCCGAAATAAACTTTCGTCTTAATTTTTTTTGCACTTAACTAATTCCTAGTGGCATCAGTTCATATTGCAGCAAAAGTTCAACATCTGATTTTCGTTCCCCTTTTCAATGAGGCTTTCTGTTTCATCGTCAATTGCGTCTTCCGCCGGTTTGTTTTATTTTTTCTTTTTAATTTTAAATTTTAAAATTTTTGTCTTCATTTCCATTGCGACAAAGTTAAAATACCCACAACGTCGCAACGTCTATTCACTATTTAGGGTGCCGATCGGTGCTCACTGGGCGGCGTGTGGAGCGTGGTGTTGTCGTTGTCGTTTATTTATATTTATGTTTCGTGGAAGACACAAAATATTCACATCGAAAATCAATTGGCCATCATTGTTATATGCCACAATTGCTAGTTTGATAGTTTGAGTGCAGCTGATAGATTGTATCTTAATTTTTAAGTATTTACGTGTGTATGGATATGTTTGCGAAGTGTGCCCGACATCATTCCCATGCGGCGAATTAATTTCTATGCAGAGCGCTTGAACGATTTTTTGTGAATAAACCACAAGCTTTCTATTTCTGCATACATATTTGTAATGTAGTTCCTTTAGTTTAAGTTTATAAACGAAACTCATTAGCTTATAGCCTTTAAACTCAGAAAAGTGAATTGTTATCTTTGAATATTTGTGTCATATGGTTGGCGCGTTGAGCTTTCTTGTTCATGGCTTATTTTTAAGCATACACTAGACCTGATAAGCTGACGTCTTTATTAAAGATCGCAAGAACCATTTTGGTTCACTTGCCATACGAAGTAAGAGCTGGAGTCTTTCTAGAAAGCAAATAACATCTCTTTATTCGGAGTCTTCAGAAGATTTGTGCATCTATAAGACTCCTAATTATTCAGGACTCATTAAGTCGGTTCGCTCAGTCGCCATTTAACGCTTGGATCATTAGTGCCCTCAGAAAACAAAGTAGATAGTCTTCCAGCACATTTATGTAGAAATTTAGCCACAAATATTGTCCTCAGCAAGACTAAATGTCCTATAATCTGGCATCCGCACTTGTCATGCGAAAGTAAGAGCTTCGAGTAAAAGACTGTGCTCATAACATCTCCTGACGTAAAACGACCGTACATAGTGATCCACATGCCAGTCAGTATCGATCACATATAGTCTCGTAGTTATGGATGCTTGCCCTCAAACGATTTAAAAATGAAAGGACTTTGTCGTTGTTTTCTTGTAAGATTGATCTAAAAGTTTCAAAGTGCCTCTAACTAGATCAGTGACGATCAAAGCTCTTTGCAGATTTTATATGGATATGCGCTAGCTGAAAGCGCTCTCTGGTCGTCGCTGCGCTGAATACGCAAATTGCAAAGATAATTATTTTTCTTGCACGTCTAAATAAAATTTATGGACACCTTTAAAACTCTCTGCAATCGAGCAAAGCTGTGCTCATCACCGATCTTTTAAAAGTGGTGTTAATAAAATAGAGCTTTTACTCTATTCGCAATCGTAAAATATCAATAGCGAGCTTTTAAAAGCTTCATCCGTTGGATAAATGTATGTATTTAAATCATCCAGCTTTTCAGAGCTCTCTATATGTAGATTTTATATGGACGTAAAGAGCGTAAAAGCTGTCTTTGCTCATCACTGATTTAAAGCTTAAAAAGCTTTGTTTGCGAACCACAGAGAGCTTTTACGCTGACTTGTAGGGCCTTTAGAAGCTTTTTTCACATCTATTATCGACGAGGAAATTGTAAAAGCTCGCTCTGCCGAGCAATGTACTAGGTCAGCGTCGGCCAAAGAGAGCTTTTGCTCTGTGCGCGTCCATATACATATAATCGTGATAGGCAGTCTTTTATCCGCGTACACAGATTTTTTAGGTTTCTCTACATTCGGGGTATTCCCAACTTTGTCGTAAGTGTCGTATTGTTGTATATCGTAAACTTTAAACGGCTAAAAATAAATTAAAATTGTTCGCAACGTACCATAAAAGTCATATTAAATATTCGTTCAACTCAGAATTTGTGAAACCAAAAGAGTCCGAAATGAGTCAGTCTGGTTGACTGGTCTCGGAATCATATTTATAACGAAAGAAAAACTCATTTTAGACTCATAAATTCTGAGCACCCAGAAATTGTTTAAGGGGTATGTATATCGAAATCCATTCTTTAATAAATTTTTATATTGTTTTATTTTAAAGCGCGTACTCGATGCCTGAAAAGCTTTGTTTTGGACTGTTTATAGTCATAAATTAATGATCCCCAAGAGAGTGGCATTAATTGAGGAAACACAAACTGAAACACTTTTGCTCTTTTTAAATTTAAAAACTTTTAGTTTTTATTTTTCTTATTTTTATGCAAGTATC